GGTGAGGAAATACAGTATTTTTCTGTTTTGCTTGTGAAGGAATCACTATTTGTTTTGGTACTTGCATGCGTGCATGTCATTTTTGTGAACGTGATATATTTTACTTTGCCATATTTGTATATTACATATTTAATTTCTTATAAATCATTTATAGACCTGTGTTTGTATAATTTTAAATACTCTGTATATATAGGTTTGCAGTAACTTTGCCAACTTTTCTCTCAGGACTCCATTTCCCAGAAGTCAGTGGATATTCAGTCGCGCTCAGACGACCAGCATTCTATCAGCAGTGCCGATAGGGTTGCCTTGGAGAACCGTCGGCAGAGTCAGTACAGCTCAGCCTCAGGCATGTGTGAGGACGGCTCCAGGAGCAGGACCCCAACAAGTAAGCCTGTTACTTTACTCAAAGGCTGACTGCTAGTGTTTTTGTGTGTGTTCTGACGGAAGTTTACCTGTGTGTCCCACAGAGGTCCAGGAGCAGCGCTTATTCTCAGCTTTGCTGATAAAGTGTGTCGTGCAGCTGGAGTTGATCCAGACTATTGATAACATCGTGTTTTTTCCTGCCACCAGTAAGAAGGAGGATGCTGAGAACTTTGCTGCTGCTCAGGTACAAACACTTGTGTTTCTCTCATATAATAACAGAATCAGTTTTCAGTGGTATGTTGAACACTTTAATGTTTTTTCTAAATATCTGTGCGATGTGATTAAAGCCAATAATCTGTCATGTGTTTGTCTTTTTGAAGCGGGATGCTGCGTTTGCAGCAGACGTCCCAGTGGAGACCCAGGACCAGGGCATGTATCGCTACCTGACTTCAGAACAGCTCTTCAAGCTGCTGGATTGCCTGCTGGAGTCGCACCACTTCGCCAAGGCTTTCAATTCCAACAACGAGCAGAGGACCTTATTGTGGAAAGCAGGTAGGGCCAGAAGCATCTGTCTGCATCTTTGTTGCTTTGCTTTTGTCCAGTTGGTCAAAATAAACAGACACTGAGTTATATTGTGATCGGCACTTTACCTCAGGCTGCACTTGATTCTTGGGGCAGTTTGGAGATAATGTATCAGAATAGATACATTTTAAATGTAAACTGTTTAACTGTGCGCATCTGTAAATATGTGTGTTGAAGGTTTCAAAGGAAAGTCGAAGCCCAACCTGTTGAAGCAGGAGACCAGCAGCCTAGCATGTGGCCTGCGCATCCTGTTTCGTATGTACACAGATGAGAGCCGCCAGGACGCCTGGGACGAGGTCCAGAGACGGCTGCTCAAGTAAGAAACAAACGTGACCCATTCATATCCCACTGCAACTGGTGATCTTTCCGTGTTCAGTGGGTGGTAATCATTTGATTTGAGAATTTCACCTTCTCAGACACTTTGATATTAAATATGATTTTTAAGTGGATGCACAATACGTCCACAGAGAGATGCAGTTGTCAGTGACCATCACATTAGCAGGTTAAACGACTGATCTTTGTAATGGTTTCTGTCGTAGTGTTGCTTAATTTTATCCCACTAATGATGTCTGCATTTCTTCCCCATCCCTCATAATATTTTACAGCGTACACTACTCCTGCTAAACATATGTCGGGTGGAACAATACATTTATGTGTGCGTATGCCAGCGAACGTGCCCTCAATTTGACAGAATTCAGAATGTAATTGGAGGTTTTGTTGCTGGTAGTTTCCAATGGAAACGTGATGATTGCTTTCAAAACAGAAACAGAACATCTTTCTGCAAAAACACCACTTGCATAAACTGGTGTAGTAATTTAATTAGGTATGTGCATGAAATAGATGGATATCGGATTATACTGGAAGCCTTTAGGGCAGTTTGCAGTTATATTTGAAGCTCATTTTGCCATCATTCTTGTAGAATCAATTGCATCACACTTCTCCGGGCAGAAACGTCAATAGCCACCTCAGAGGAAGGAGAAATCAAACGACAGGGAGAGAGAGGCTGTTTTTATCACTATCTACAGCCAGTCACTTGTGGCAAAGACACAGTGTGTGCACAGCTCTGCAGCTCTCTGAAAGGGATGCTGTGTGCTGTATAGATCCAAAGAAATCAGCACACTGATGTTTCATTGTTCAGTCAGCACTGCTGTCATCGCTGCATCTTTATTCAGCGACTCACAAACAGCCGTCAGCCCCGTTCTCTCCCAGCCTCACCCTCAAATTGATGAGGATATCCAGATAAACCAGAATCATTGCCTGTCTCTCCTACTTGCATTTATTATTAGAGAGAAGATGAGAAAGAGGAAGGAGGAACGATGGTGCCTGCATGTGCGAGTGGTTCAGAAATCCTTATTCATGGAGACGCTGTTATGTGTCATACCTGTATTTTGCGTTCCTTCTCTCTTTCGCAAACATACGTCATTCAGATGCAACAACAGGCACACATTTATTTTTAAATAACACACACACTTGTTTACCAGAGGCCATGTACAGCGCACACACACAAACACACACACGTTTGATTAGTGCAGGGTGCAAAGCAGATTTGGGAGGCGATTAGGTCACAGATTGCAGCGTAAGGGAGCTGTGAGTGTGAAGGGAGGAGGAAGGGAGAGGGAGATAAATGGCTAACAGATGGTGTTGATGTCAGAAGAGGGCCGCAGGGTCGGGGCAGAAAGGTCAGAGGTTGCGTCAGTTTTCCTCAAGCTTAAACTGTGAGGAAAAATGGCTAATTGTTTTCATAATGGCCTCAGTCAGTGACTTCAATTAGCAGTTACTGAGCGAAAACAATCTTCATCATCCCCATCCCTCCAGTTTTTCATGTGATAAGCGAGGCAGAGAAGCAGATGCTTTCTTGCTGCATCACATTACAACACAACACAGCTCTAAAAGGCTGTTTCTTATTTTCTTTTTTCTTTCATAATATTCTGTATTTGTGTTTCTGAAATGTGTTTCTCTTTTGTCTGTGTGCTGTAGTGTGTGCAGTGAGGCCGTAGCGTACTTCTTGGCTCTGACCTCAGAAAGTCACAGAGAGGCCTGGACCAACCTGCTGCTGCTCTTCCTCACCAAGGTGCTCAAGATCAGCGATACGAGGGTAAGGAGCCGAAACACTCGACGACGCCTTTCCTGTGTGCGCTGGTGTGCAGGGCTCTGTGCACACATGCATGAACATTTACTACTAGGTCTGATATCCAAAAATAACAGACGAGGTGGTTATTTATCGCCATCTTAAGGGTTCAGAGTGTAAAATTGATGCAAAAAGTGGAAGCTTTGTTCAAATCATCATCCATTTTTAAAGCTTGTTGGTGCTTGTGTTTGCATTTAAATATGCTGCGTGCAGCGATTTTAAATTTGTTTACTGGGACGATGTTTGTGGTGTCCTCTTATACTATTTTAATGGACTTTTGCCAGCCAGTCAGAAACCGCTTATAATACAGTACACTCTAGAAAAGTTAAATAATGCTCCTTGTCACTTATAGTCAGTTTGTACCAGATAAAAATGATTAAAGTGCTTATAAGTGTTAAAGTATTCTGTGTAGTACCAAGACATGGGTGTCTGTTTTTGTCTCACTCTCTCTCTTTGTCTCATCCCACTTCCAACTTCAGTTCAAGGCTCATGCGTCCAGATACTACCCTCTGCTGTGTGAGATCATGCAGTTTGACCTCATCCCCGAGCTCCGGGCAGTTCTACGAAAGTTTTACCTGCGCATCGGCCTCGTGTTCCACATCGCACAGCTGCCTGAGCCCGAACCAGACCCTCAGCCGGCACATGCTGAGCAGGAAGCAGACACAGAGGTGGGGGAGGAAGCTGGGGAGGAGGCCCAGTGACGCTGCGCCACAGACAGCCTGGAACACAGAGCTCTACTGAGGCCTCTACCTCAGATCCGTGCGACTGTGTGCTGTGGCTCCGTGTCACCTCAGGGCCCTACACGTGGCTTTTGCCGAACACTTGACTTAAATAGCTGATTGGCTATCTGCTATCACCCACCTGCACCCTTAACCCAGTCACCACACACACACACACACACACACATACAGATGCGCCTATACACAAACAGCCCAGACGGAGTACTTGATATCACGATGAAAACAGTAATGTCTTGTACAAGGTGTAGCGATGTCTCCACTGGATAAAACTACTGATAAACAACTGACAGTTATCCATATCTCTGATCTGCTCAGAAGGAATAAATTTCAAAAATTGTGTGCTTCTTACTGTATATTTAAAAAGCAAAGAATGGATGGTTTCAACCACATGCAAAAGACATATTTAGTAACTATGAAATGTGACGTTTGTCACACATTGATAGTAATGATTCTTCTGTCTACACAGCAGACGGCTAACATTAGTATTGATAGCCTCTTGATGAAACTAGTTGTACAGATCTGCCGCTATGTAATATATTATAACACTAGATTTCATTTATTTTTGTTTATTTTTTTCCTCTGGATTTGCTGCACTTGATCTCTTTTTTGAACACACTGGAGATTTTACTTTTGTGATAATTTATTTGACTGTACCATCTCCTGCAGATTGTCCTATACAGTATGATTTGTAATTGAACAAGACCATGGAAAGTGAAGGGTTAAATTATTCCATTTTATATGTTCTTAGGTTTTTATCAGAGATTGATGATAACTGGGCTACTGAAACTGGAAGATAAGAGGGTAACCTGATGTTAGCTGCTTTTGAGTCACTAGGCTGTTTTTATGTTTGAGTTTAATTTTCACTTTTGTGTACAAAATCAAAAGGTAATAATATATTTAATGTTTTTTTTTTCTTTGGTTTGGGGAAAAGTAATATGTATAGAGAAAAATTACAAATGTTAGCTGTGCTTTAAGTATGAATGGGATGCATTCCTGCTCATGGATGTAGAAAACAAAATGTATATGATACAGCATTGTAAAGTTTTCTATGTTGCAAAAAAGATTATGTACAACTTTCTGTACAATACATCATCTGGCATTCTAATCAGGTTCTAGGTCAATAAAGTTTTGAACTTGGTTTATTTGAAATGCTGAATCACTGACCTCATGCTAGAATTGCTAGCTGTTTTCTCCATTAATGATGAGCCAGGACAACATTCAATTAATAACATTTTTATTATAAAATAAACTGTCCAATGTATATTTATAACTAAAGTCACATGTACATATGTTTATAGTATATTCACAGATATACACCTTACAAAACGGGCTAAGCTCTAAGCTGTTAATTCTGTATTGCAGGATAAAAAGTGCACTTTTCATGATAAGAGAAACTAGCCAAACTGAGTCTTGAGTAAGATGGTTCTTGTCTCAAGTAGAAGGCGTTAATATTTTTACAGGCAGACTCTGGTCTCTAACAAGCTTTTGAAGCTATGTAAGCTAACCAACTCCCACAGTTAATATGTTGGTCAGTGGAAAGTGATTAAAGCAACACACAGCAATGATTGTTCATTCTCAGGAGAACCACCACCCTCATCCAAACAAAGGACTAGTCCCTCTCAGTGCAGTTTCCCATCCTTGGACACCACATAATGGAAGCTATGTGATGCAATGTGTCAGCCTGGGTGGAGCATCCATCCTGCTGTTTGGCTTCTCCCTACTGTCTGAGCGTTTTACAGCATCTGACGTGCCAGGCCGCAGCCAGGGCTCTGTGGCAACAGTCTCCACGGAGACACGCCTCTCCAGGGCAGAATACAGAGACAAGACATCCACTTCATCACCAGACAGCCCCTCTGGAGAGGACAGAGGTTCATCCATCACACATTTCTTTAGGCAATGAGAAATTAAAGCATGCTTAAAATTCGGCATATACATATATTTTTTTGTATGTTCAGGTGTTATCCTTTAAAATAGTTTTTGAAATTTATATTTCAATAGTCCCGCGATCCTGTATGCAGGATAAGCGGTTGACGATGGATGGATATTTCAATAGTTAACATCTGCTTGATCTTTGTTGAAAAGGTGGCAAAGCTTTAGTAAGAGACTGACGCACATGTGGCAGAGACCTGTCAAAAAGCAAGGTAACAGCTGGTTTAAAAAGCCATCTTAAATATAACATACCATATGTTCATTAACTAATGAAAGATGTTAATGGCAGCACTGCTCAAGTCTGTCAGTGGACCAACACTCCTCCACACCCCGACTTGCCAGACTTGTTACGCTTTGGTTTTTTAAGCATGTGGCTTACTGAAATACCTCTGATGCAAACAGTCCTCTCACCTGATCTGCTGTTGTGATCACCAGTGCTAAGGTCTTGTCTTGTGATGCGATGCTGGTCGTGGGCCCTGAGTTTAGACTCAAGGATCGAGCTCGTCACCGGCTGCAAAGCATCTGGCTGGATGTTACGGCCCCTCTGATCCCTTGACACAGCCACCTTGAGTAGAAAATAAAAAGAAACCAGAAGGAAGAGATTGACTACAATTCTCATCCGTTAAATCAGAAAACAAATGGGACTAGATTAAAGCGGTATTGAAAACATCAGAAAGGGATATGGCTCTGGTACTGTAGTGACTCAGATCGTTTTGACCTGAAGAAAACAAAAGACTGTATTTACTGATCGGGACCATACATCATAGTCATGTCTCCTCCGGGGGGCTGACCTCTCCCGTTGCTCTGCTGAGGACTGAGGGGGTCTCTGCTGATGAACCTGCTCCTCACATGCATCACCACTGTAAACATCTGACAAAGCCCAAAAGCCATTGATCATTACACACAAACCTCTTTACAGCTGGACAGAGATTAGGGAAGCTCATTCAGTCAAGATACGTGTAATTCACATAGTCCATTCACAGGCATGCAAACTGGTCAGGGGTAAAAAAAAGTTGAGAAGGATACGCAAGCAGAGAAACTTACAGAGACAGTGTAAGAGAGGTCTTTTTTTAAGCTTACATGTTGTATAGATAACGTGCATTCGTCTACTGCAACAAGAGAAAAATACCGACAGGCAAAGGCGTCACTGTGTTGAAAAGTAGTGGGGACATAAGGGCTCAGATTAAGGGTGTGACAATACACTTAGCTTACTAGATGTAAGCGCCATACTGGTGTCACAAGAACGAGATTTGATGATAAATTAACAGTATTTTATAGAAATAATCAAAGTTTAAATATAATATTAAAGTTGGGGGGTCTGGGTGTCCTCCCCCAGAAAATTGTAAGCACTAAACACTTAATTTCCTGCATTCTGGTGACATTTCCTGTTCTGCCTTTCCTACATCAATTTATGATGAAAATGCTTTTATTTATGTAAAGGGAAACACAAAATTCAGATGGCAGGTGACAATTCAAAATCTATCTAAGTATTACAGGATCTAATGCAGTGCAGGTCTTAAGGGATTCTGTGTTGCTTTCTCCTGTAGATCAACTTTTCTCGTGTAATATTATCCCTGCTGAATTAGCACACATGCAGCAGGATTTAGTCTTCCCTCCTCTTTTGTCATGTTCACAGGAAGAGAACAGAAAATTTGGCCAAATAGAAACCCTGACAAGAAGTTGTTAAAGTAACTGACTGGTGCTGCACGTTTTGGGGTGATTTTATAATCAGTAGCTTGTTTATTCTTATTAAAGATGCAAACAACCCTTTCTCAAATCACTTTCATTGGTTCTTTGCCATTTCATGTTGCAAGATATTTTTCAAACCATTTTTAAAAAACGCTTTTTAAAAAAAGTGATGGGGACATGTCCCCAGTATAAATAACACATGCCGACACGTTTTATCCACCCGGCGGATAGCTCCTTCGGCAGTCTTTTACCGTCCTCACTGATTCAGCTGTCAGACTGTCAGTGTAGCAGACTAGAAAAAAGACCCGCCCTACGCTGCCTCTGATTGGCTGTTGGGTTGAGACATTAGGAGTGACTATTGGTTAGGCACATAGACTGTATAGGCAGAGCCAGGGCCGTTAAATAAAAGCAACTTGTAAAGTTGCAAAGGTGATGCTAGAGCGTAGACAATATAAAAAGTGCTAGAGAGGAGAGGACTCCGTAAATAAAACGGGTAGGCCTAATGCTGCATTCCAGGCAAGTCGGAACTAGAAAAAGTAATATGGAACGCCACTTGAAGTCGTATTTATGTATTTATAGTATGTATTACATTAAAATAATACATACTATTATCAAACAGTAAAACTTGTTCTGCATGTAAATTGATGTAGAAATATTTTATCAATGTAATTAGGTAGCTGGTTACAGTAAATAATCTCTGAAAGTCATTTTCTCTACCCAAAAGTTAATCAGGAAAATGTTAAAAATGCCCAGAAATGTTAAGGAAATATAGAATACAACTTTTTCTGACTTTTTGAGGATTACCAACTGATGTAGCTAGAAAGATACACAGTTAAGGAGTAAGATATATTTATCACTTTGTGTAAAATAAAATGGCCATCCTTTTACTTAATACCAAGTGCACTGCTGAGGGTTTAAATGAGCATAAACTTGCCAAAGAAACATAAGTTTGTCATGCCTGCATTCAGCAAAAGTTTTGGAAAAGGATAGGAGGGGAGTATTCAAAAGCCTCTTCCCTCCCTGCACCAGACTTTTTAACAATTTATCTACCGCCCCCATTCCCAATGGCTGGCACTGTACTATCGCCACCCTGCAGATGGCATAGGTGCCTTGCAACCGGCACTGGCACCAGCTGCAACACAGAGACAGGAGTCACAATTAGACTGGCACAGAGACAAAGGGTTAGATTTGCCTGGTGCAGAGGCTGTTGTGGTGTCGTACTATGACCGTGTGCATTGCTGACCTCCCAAGCCATGGCACCTTTATGGAAAATGTCTGGCACTGTACAAAAAGGCAAGTCCCAAAGCATATTGTGTCCCCACTGATGTAAACACTTTTCTTCATACTTGAAAGAAGAATAAAAGAGGAACAGGGACAGTCTTTACAAACAGACCATGTTTAGCAAGGCGTACCAATAAAAGCAGTCTCAGATGGCAGTGTGGAGTCTCTGTGGATGTAGCACCCAGGTTTGTTCCTCTAAGAGAAGAAATAAACAGAGGCACCAATTAAACACTTACAGCAAGCCGTTAAAGATGTACTTGTCTAGCCTGTCACAATGAAAATGCATATTTAGAATACTATGACCACTCACAGAACGGTAGTGGCTCAGTTGCTGGTCCAAAAAGTCTGTAGCAAAACACAGATCAATGAGTTAAAGAGCACAACAGTTTGAAGCGAAATGTGTGTGTGTGTGTGTGTGTGTGTGTGTGTGTGTGTGTGTGTGTGTGTTTGTCTGCTCACTGACCGTGCTCTTCCTCTCTGTTCAGAAGCCTGATTTTGCGCTGTTGTTCACGGAGAAGTGCCTGTTGCTGGATGTCCAGACTTTGTGCGTCAGTGGGAACATCAGGGTACATGCGACGGACCTCCTCACGAGATGCTGTGTCTGACAAATAAAGGAAGGCACTGTCCCATTTATAATTTTCATATTAATTAGACTCATTTCTAATTGCTCTCTTTCTTACTGTCTCCCACTTCCTCCAGTCTCTGACTGAGCAGCTCCACAGGCTAGCTACATTTTCCCCACATCATTCTATCAAGGTTTGACAGGACAGGATAGATCTGATGCAGCTTTCAAATGTAAAGTTGGCATTCTTCCATAATTTATATGTGGAAGTGATTTGGTCAGTTTGTAACAAACTAGCATTTCTTCCTATTTTGTTGGTCTTACATGCTGGAGCTCTGAGTGTCTTTCAGACCCCTGCATTAACTCGGTCTGGGAACCCATCCAAAGCCATTTGCTTGGTCGCTTGCATTACATTCACTGTTTATGCTGCCAAACTGCCTGTCAGTGACGGACGCCTCCCATGACCTCATGAGATGAGAAGTTTCAGTGTGGCTACATGGAGACAGAGGAATCATAGGGCTGTGGAAAGTCTAAAACCATCTGGCAATGCCCAGCTGGTTTAGGACCGCAGTTATCCTCATCTCTTGTCTTTATATCAACGCCATGACCAAGGCAATTATAGGAGGGTTTTTCAATCTTTTTCTTAAAGTTGGAAAAATTGGTTAGTACAGAAGCAAAGTAATCATGATCTGATAGTAAAGTAAAAATGTTGCTTCATAAAAGCAAGCCATTCACCAATCAATCAAAATGTCTGTCTGTACCTTTGTATTTAAGCTGGCTGAACTCCCTGATATTTTGCATATTAACATGTGCAGCACCAGGGGAAGGACTCCTGGTTGATGGCTGGACAGCTCGCTTGTGCATTGAATCAAAGGCATCTGCTCTGGGTCGTCCTCTGGGCCTACGCAAAGGAGAAAAAAAACCACTTTAGAACAGTACTACTCACATGCTATGTCACATGTGACGTGTTTTTCAAGGTGGTGTGAGCGGGTCATAAGCAGCCACATGTTGTGCTGAAGTTTATGAATCCGTATTAGATCCTGCACTGCAGCTGCCCCTGCGGATCTTGCAAGGTGAAGACAGATGAAAATTTCCCTTTGGGGATCATAGTGTTACACTACTGCAATGACGAGTCCCTGACACAAATCTGAATGGAGATTAGAAGATTGCCAATTTGACCTGGGTCACATTCATTAGCTTGGAGCGCAAGAAAGCCTCCTTAAATCCGAACAGCAAATCAAAATTTGCCATTTAACAAGACATGATTAGTTTTGTGTCTCAACTTTAATGCATCAGGGGGTGTATTAGGTGAAATTGGACCTGAAGGGGTAGAGCACATCTAATAGGTTCACTAAATGGGAAAAAAATTATATTTACGCAAATTACCCCTGCCGCTTAGGAGTGCCTGACTGTAATACCTGGGGGGAGTGTAGTGACTCTCCTGTCGATCTGTCTGGCCCAGCTGAACCTCCAGTTGTCTCTGCTCTTTCCTCAGATATCTACGGAGGGCTGACAGCTCTCTAAACACTTCCTGCTGACCATCTGAAGCAAGTAGAGACAGAGACATGGATGGGAACAATAAATGTTTATGTGGCAATTTATGCTTTACAAGCAGCCATGGATGTGTTTTTTTGTTTTGTTTTGTTTTTTGGCGGGGGGGGGGGGTGTCTTACCTTGTAGCTGGGGTATTTTCACAGGAACGGTTCGGTAGTGTGGTGCTGACACAGAGCGCTCCTGTTGTGGAGTTTTTATGTTTTAGATCAAAACATCCTTGATGTGAAAATATTTGCATCCGTTTAGCAAGTGACTTACAGTCCTGGAGGAAAGTTGGCTCACACCAGAGGAAGGTCTGGAAACCACCACTATTGTCTGCTTCTTTTGCAAGGTAGGGATGGGAGGAGATGGCTCTCGCTGCAAATTTATGAGCAGACTCACATTACTTGACAAAGATGTTCAATAAAACTGCAAGCCAGTGTACCAATGACTATATAGCCTTACCGTACCTCATAACTTAACTGTGCCCTTTTCTCCTCTCTGCCCCTCACACTCTCAGGTGCCTTCTTTTCAATATCTTGTTCCGGTCTCACCCTCCTTTCCACCTCCTGGTGTTGTGTTTTAGGTTCATGGTTCCAGCTTTGGTCTTCCTGCCTGTGCTGCAGCAAGTAAAAAAACAACACTTTCTTAATGGCAAGCTCAGTGTGAGGAGACCCCCTTAACTATGAGGAAGGAGGAGTGCTCTTCATCAAAGAGATGAATCCCTCACCACAGCCTTCTTTTGCTTCCTTTGCTCCTCCTCATATTCCCGCTGTATGCGAGCCCTCTGGTCTTCCAGACGCTTCTCTTCTTTCTCCTCCTCACACCTCATTCGTTCTCGCTCCTCTTCCTGCTTTCGCTTGTTTTCCTCTATCTGTTGGTAATGGTAAGGTTAAGTTAGTTCATTTACATACATCATTTACAAGTGATCAGGAAAACTGAAGTGGTTGTTGCCAATAATAATTCATTCATTTTATAAAAAAGGGAGTCCCACACACTAAAGATTTCATGTTCGGTTTGATTAATGCCTTCCATTAGTATTCAAGCAGCTGCATGTATAGATGGAAGGCTGTGGCCCAGAACCTACCTGTTGTTTTAGGGCTTCTTTGTATTTCCCCTGCATGTGGAGCTGCTGTGGAGTTAGCTGCTCAGTGAAACCTGCAAGGACAAGTGAGACGGAAAGTAATCTATCTATAAAGAAAAGTAATGTGTACTGTGCACAGAGAAACAACACTACCTGACAGTCTATGGGAGAGGGGAGGCCTGGCTTCAGCTCCAGGACTGTGTTCATTCCTCCTCAAAAGGCTGTGAGTCTGTACACTATTCCTGGACACAGGATTCCTATATGACTCCTCGTTAATCCTGTGCATTTGATTCAGGTCACCTGAGGGAATGGAAACATTTACAGGTATCCTAAAAACTGTATTGCTGTAGCTCAGGTTGTTAAAACAGAAAGTGAACGCCAACTTACTAACAAGGTTGCCTTTTTGGTCTTTAATTGGAGCACCTCCCCCACTTCTGCCCCAGGGGTTGTACTCCATCATCTCGGCCTCAATCTTGGCATCATATTGCTCTTTCTCTTCTTTCTCTCTTCTTTTACGCTCCTCTCTTTCTTTGATCTGTACACACACCAAAGGCAGGATGGTTCAAAAGTTGATGCACTCCATCAAGCTCTGGTCTCTTAACTGTCACAATATCTGGTCTTTCCCTAAAATTAGTCAATATCTGGGTTTCCTCAGGTATTACCACGGAGAAAGCAGCCGGTTACACCACATGTCAGTGTGACATTTAACTGATACTGGCTGTTACCCCATAAACAAAAAACATCCAACTATAACCTGACAGAACTAGACTAGACTAAATACACACTACCCCAAACACTTCTTGGTCACAAACTGGCATTACTAATTTGTGAAGTTAGTTATTATATGAAAGCTTGGGGTCTGCTTATGGCAAGCAGACGATATCTTGTAGATATCACCGTCATACCTGCTGTCTGAGCGCTTCTTGGTAGCTCAGTGCACTCTCTCTTCTCTTGGTCTTGTCTGCAGAAAGCTCTCCAGCGACCAGGGGAGATGCTCTATGCTGATCACTTGCTCTAGAAGCAGACAGACAGGGTGACAAATGATGAGGAGGCATACACACAGGAGGTACTGACAGACTCACAGATATTTTGGAGTGACTATATACTAATGTAAAAGCTATCACATAGGAGTTGCAGACATATTAAATTGTGTACACTGAATACATTATCTGATTAAATACACTTGCAAAAATAAAGATGGTAGGATGGACTCAGTGCGGCCACTGGGTCTGAGAGCAGGTGGCCTTTGAGGGGGAATGTGGAAATTCCCAGACTGCTGCACCCCTCCAGGCACACCGTCTAATAAAGAAAATACAAAAATACAAGATAATAAACACAAACAGATTTAACAGTTTCATTAGCTGTCTGCTATCTCACTGTCTGCCAGATATTCCCCCCAAAATTACCATGTCTCTGAGCTCAGACCAGAGTAGAAATCTGGCCGCACAATTAACATGGAAATGAATTAAATGCAACCAAACAGACCAGCTGGATGAAGTGAGATCCATCTGGATCTGCTGAACTCAGATCCAATAAACTGTATATACCCTTAGTTATAAAATCAGTTCTGCTATAAATAACATTTATGAATTGCTAGGCCAAGTCCTCTTGGCCATTGATATGGTGATAAAGTGGCTCCATAATAATATGGTAATAGTTCTCTACAAAGAGCTCTTGGGAGTTTATTTAAGCCAATGTGAATTACTTCCATCTAAGGTGAAAGTGCCAGAAACCGTGAGTCAGTTTATGACTGTGGAGACACTAGACATACCAATGACTGTGGAGCTTACCAGTGTTCACTACAAATGTGCAGACTTTACATTATTGCAGTACTTTAATGTTCTAGATTTGATGTGTTTTTCTTACCTCCAAGCAGCCACTGGTTTCCATTCATTTCCATACAATATGAAAATCAACTTGCAGAGTTTAAATTTTTCTTAAGATGCATTAAATAATCCATAACAGTGGACGTCAGGGCTGCTTTTATTTTTGTCACTATGTTATTGTTGCACTGTTCTGTGCAGACATCATGCCAACCTGCACTTACAGTTGCACTGCTACACAAGGGTTATGTAACCTTTACAGTCAATGTTCATACCACAGTTAACTTAATGAAAACCAGCACCTGTCTTGTGTATTGGAAAAACACAATTCAGACATGCAAAAACATTACAATATTTTTTAAATGGTTAACAGTAATACAAAGTACACATGATTTCTAGTAAAAGGCAAAGAGGCAAAGACATTTCAAATGAAAAGGGTTGTAATACTATACTCTGATTGTAGGGAAGATTAGGATCTAAAGGATTCCTCGTTCCATAGTAGTAATAAGCTGCATCGTATGGAGTCTTGTAATTATTATCTACAGTAGGTGGAACAGGAGGAGGACCATCAGCAACCCTGAAAAACAAAGTCACAGAAACTACAATGAATTTACAGCAGAATGGTTAACTTCATTCATGTACAAGAACACAAAGCAACAGTGATCTACCTCGGGACGGCCACTTTTCCTAGCATATTTGAGAAGTCCCTGTGGTAGTCCTCATTAATATAGTCCAGCGAGGGGACACCTTGTGCAGGCACTGTCTTCCCTGTAACCTGACTGACAGCTGTACTGTAGTCCACATGGGACTTTCCTGGGGGCGCTCTTCGTTCTGTGGCCTCAGTCGGTTTGTCATCTTTAGGCCTTGGATTTGGGTCCTTCCCCACAGCCTCTAGATCTATTCCGGGCTTGTAAGGGACATCTCGTTTCCAGCGGCCATAATGCCGGCTTCCAGCCCCAAACTGCTTAATTCGGTCAGGCTGGAAGAGGTGATGCATCATGACCAAGAGATCCATGGAAGGAAATTAGGCAACAAATATAACAAATATTGAAAACAGACTCAAGACAAGGTGGGGTGATAATATACTTAAAATAATATAATCCTCATGATAGGATAGGATAGGATAAATAGTTTGTGACGTTGTGATGTGTTTATTGAGCAGCTGAGACATTTCTACAAGACTTTATTCAGTCACTGTGAAAGACAGCCTCAAATGCAGGACTGACATGCAGTAAGATGGCATCTTTAGAGAATCATATCATGTACTGCGTTTCTTCCCGTTGTGTTCTACCTCTTTCTCAGGGTCTGTGGCTCCAGTAGCAGCAACCCTCAGCTCAAGCTGCTTCTCCCTGGAAAAAAAAATGCATCCCATCTTTTGTGTCTTGTTGACTCATGGGGATGTGCCAGCTGAAAGAACTCTAAAGAAAATGTTGTTTAAGTGACTCACCTGATCTTGTTCCTCTGCTGTTCAGCAATTTGTTTCAGCAGCTCCTGCTTATACTGTTCTTTCCTCATCTGAGATGCCGCCCGCTCTTCTCGTACTGTCACTTGTGATGCTGAAAAGGGATTTCAAGAGACAAGTTCCATAATCTCACAAGTCAATACGTGTCCAAAAACATCATGCAATAAGGATGGTAGTTACCAATCATTAGTCCAGTAGCAAACTCTGTTTTATCCTTGCTGGTAGCAGGTCTAGATTTTGCAGCAGTCCTCATGCTGTCTAGCATTTGTGGACTATTAAACACAGATACACAGACAGATCAAGACACTCCACGTGAGTCATCCAATCACTGGCAATGTATAAGGGTAACGGCATGGCAATCAGTTCTCCTCTGAGCCACACCCAGCTACCATTTTACATCATACACTGCCTCACATTTTGCCTGCAGAGCTTTCTACATACAGGGATTGAAGCCTCATTCTCCAATCAATCCAGCTCCTCTGATAGAACTGGGTAATTGTTTGCCTGGAGCTGGGCCAAGGCTCACCCTCCATCACCGCCCCATACATTAACAGCTTACTGACAGTGACTCAACAAATGGAAACAATGAAAGGCTTGTAAGAAAAGTGCTGGAGAGCAATAACTGAGTATGGCAGCAATTATCTATACCTGTCTTCTGTTACAGTTACCGTGCCTTGGCTCATTCAATCAGATTATTTTATTGATTGACAAAATACATGTGACTTGATGTTATTAGTTGCCCCAGCTCTGGTGCTTTCTCGGATAATTCTGTTTCAGCCTTACAAATCTCACTGCTGCAGTCGACCAGAACTGTACAGAAAAATAATAACTGTGCTTACTCTGACTTCCAAACCCATTCATTGTTGTTCTGATCTAGAACACCAGGGGCCTCCACCTCCTTTTTATCCTGATGAGCTCTGTAGAGACAGACAGGTGAAGAGTAATTATATTATCATACCTGACCTTCTGTCTATAGTATATATGTACAGTAATAGATGGAAACAGCTCAAAATCATACAACAGAAAAAAGCTACACCTGTTAGCTCTGCGTTCTCTGGTTCTCCTCTCCTCTTTGTACTCAGGCACTGGAGTGTGGCTGTCTTGCCTCCTCCTGTGTCTTAACTCCAACTCCTCCTCTTTGTCTGTGATCAGCTCCTCGTCAGAGCTATACTGCTGCTTTGGTCCATAGAGCTGCCAACGCCTTCGCCCCCGTTGGCCTAGACCCCAAGTCCTTGTGCTTTGTCCATTATCCACTGCCTCTGTCAGAGTGGCAGCATCTCTCCTGGATACAGCACGCTCCCTAGGAGGAGGGAGTATGTTTGTATGGGTGCTGAGGACGGGCAGAGGAGAAGCTGGACAAGAAATGCACCCAGCATCTGAAGCTTGAATCTGTCCAGGCTGAAAGTGAAAATGTGAAAAGAAACTTTACTTTACACCTGAATGCTATAACGGTTTCAAAGGACACAATGGAAATCTTTCTCTACAAACCATGTCTTTTTAAATTACAGTGAAAGCAGATTATCAATGTCCTTGGTTGTTTATTGATTAATCTCATTACCTTTGATGTGACAGGAGCTGGTCTCCTCTTTACCCTTCTGATTTGAACTTGGTCCTGTAGGAAGAGGTTGTATTCTTTTTTTCTCTCCTCTCTTAGTTTTTCCTGTAAGAGAAACAAATTCAAAACCATGTCTTTAAAGCTGCCATCTCATTCAGGTAGGGCACCGGCTAAATTATTCCAATGATGTGTTTGAGTCTGACTCAACACACACAGATTACAATAAAACTTAATATACAAAACCAGCAATATATCTATAGCTGACCTTTTGAATATAAGACACCTTACAGTAACTTTCATTTCACAGTCTCACCTCAGTTTACAGTAACTGCTTGAATGCAATAGGATTTCTTATGACTTAATTACTGGACCCAGGCAGGTCTCAAACTCACAATCCAAAGCTCCGCAGGCTGATGCCTTATCCTTTAGGCCACTGATGCACCATCTTTCATCCTCTTACACCACATTAGTAAGTTTTGACTTGACAAGTCTACAAACCCTTGTAAATGCAAGCAGTTGCTATGACACAAAGCACTGTACAATCAACAAGCTTAAGAGCTGAGACTCTGCAGCGTATCAGCTCCTTAGTGTTGCTGTGAGCAAGTTACATCATGCCAGGGGGGAAAAGTCCCACTTTGATGACCATAGCGTGTTACCCGCCTCCTGTTATGTCACACTTGGAGACACACAAATGTACACAAACGCAAAAATGCACTCACTGAAGTACCCAACCTGGCACACAGAAACACACAGACACACACCTGAACTGATATCTTCTCATCAATAGGTAGGGAGAGGCCTTGGGTTTGTAGACGAGGTTCACTAGTTTTCAGACTATTTTTCTGGAGGAAGAACATGACAAAGAAAGACTGGATAGTGAATCAACAAAATGCAACACAGAGTGAAACATGTCTAATTAATGATAATTTACAAATACATCCTTAGACCTTGGCAACATAATTTTTGTAGTCCAGCTGAAGCTCCTGCTGAAGTTTCTTTTTCTTCCTTTCATACTCAGTTCCCAGCAGCAAATTAAAGCCCAAACCTGGAAAGTATAAAATATATAACATATAAATTGTATGACATAACACTCTAGTCCAAGAATGCAATCTGCCCAGCATCAGAGATGTGCACAATACCTCTGTCTGGATAAGGGGTCATTCCCTGTGTTGCTGATGCTGGAGGCATATCCACACAGGGTTGTTTATATTACCAAACCTTGATTAGAAAACATTCACACATGATGTTAAATATTCGTTGCTCTTTAAAAACAACTACATGGCAATAATCAAAGCATTGATATTTCACATACCTTGATTTGCATGTATGAATGGTGTATCACACTTCAGTGGTGATATATCTTTGGCTGGTTTCTCTCCATGCTCCTCTAAAAAAGTCCCATATTCGTCCATTAATTACTATGTACATCCAACAATGTTAATCACTTAACATCACTTGTAACGTTATACAGGCCTTTTGGTATCCACGCTCAGCTGAAACTCAGCTCTGCCCACCGAAGTCATACATAACATCATAATATGTAATAAATTAATATTTATTGAATATCTTGTCTCGATTGTCAGCTAGGCGCAAAGCATCATTATGTTGCTATGGGCAACCACAACACAAAAGGTCCTAAAAGATACTAACCGAGCAAACATAAAGCTGTAAAGCTATTAAAATATATCTGATGCCCGTCAAACTCACTGTTTGATATTTATATTAGTCGGTACTGGCTTTTCGAGATGTCCTTGGCTGCTGAAGCAATTAAACTCCAGCGGAAATGTATAACTCAGTTAACCTAACGTTAACGTACCAACAAACGCTAGAAATCGAGTAACGTTAACTAAGTTACCAACCGCCCTTAGTGGCCCTTTGAGAAAGACTTTACTTTCAGTAATGAACATTAGCTGCAGTTTTGTCGATTCGTTAAATACCTTACCCCTTACTTTAAAGAGTACAGTGCCAAACATATGAAAACAAAAGCCTTCTTGAGCAAATCTGCTTTTCTGGAAAGCGCCGCCAGAGGTCAGTGCGTCCCCGACTGTTGGTCTACCCGGGACTAAACCATGCATTGTGTCAGAGGGGTGGTTATACTTTAATATGAGTGATAAATACGGTATTAAATCGCTTTAAGTGGAATTTATTGTAATATGTTGTTCTATTTTAATTTTAAAAATGTAATATACTATATAAACATATCAGCGTCATATTTGAGTGACATTAAGACAAACGTCCCCTACGATTGCATTTGGTACATTCATTCACTGTCATGGCGACCTGAGCAACTGGACGTTCGGCCCTGTTACGGTATCAAAATATTTTGGAGAAATATTATATATATCCACCTACTTGTGCGGACATAGGCGTTTTAACGAAGGTTTTCTTTTTCTTTATCTTTTTTCGCTTAGATAATTCATCATGGCGGGGAGCAGCACGGCTCAGAAAACATGGGAGATGTCGAACAGCATGCAGGAAGTTCAGAGCATAGACGAAATTTACAAATATGACAAAAAGCAACAACAAGAAATCCTCGCTGCGAAGCCATGGACGAAAGAGTAAGTAAGGTTACAGAACATGTCATGTGGTATTTAGTGTTTAAGTGATCGTTGTTAAGCTAATATTTTGTTGAATGTTGTGTCACGGTAGTCTATTGTTAGAATACCCTTTATAGCTTGGCTACAAACTAGCATTCGTTTGTTTGTCAACAGCAGTAACGTTACAGTAGTCTGTGTGTGGTGTGTATTTACAAATGTTTCCACTCCTTACCTTAATATACCTAATATTGAATATACATCTTTCTTTGTTCCATAGTCATCACTATTTCAAGTACTGCAAGATCTCAGCCTTGGCCCTGTTGAAGATGGTGATGCATGCCAGGTCTGGAGGAAACCTGGAGGTGATGGGCCTCATGCTGGGGAAGGTGGATGGTGAAACCATGATCATTATGGACAGCTTTGCCTTGCCTGTGGAGGGCACAGAAACTCGAGTCAACGCCCAGGCTGCAGCATATGAATACATGGCTGCCTACATTGAAAATGCCAAACAGGTCGGACACTGACTTCCATTAAAGGGCCTCTCTCAGATTTCATGATTGAGAGAGGGGGAACCTAACTCTGCATAACTAATTGTTCAAAAATACATTACATTGATTTATAGTGCATCACTTTCTGTAGATCTAATTGATTGCAACCAATTTTTGTTGAGACTTGGGCAAATTTCATCTAACTGTTCTACTTTAATGTTTGTAATGTGGACTAGACATACACCTACATAATTTTTGAAGCCAGTACCAATATATGATTGCTATTAACCACAGCACTGAAGCAATATGATGTTATTCAGTAAGATTATATAAATTTGTCTACCATTAATACCATGGTAGCTATCACTTTACTAGCCTTTGTTGTATTAGGCAATTATAAGTTGCAAAGCAAAAATCAGGAAAATTGAATTTGACTGTAGTCAAAAACAAACATTCCTGTCTCATTATTTTATCCATTATTGTTTCTCAAGTGATTTTTAGATGTACTATTGTAATTACATATGCTGTGAAAGTGGATTGTTATCTTCTTTAAAAAAAAAACAAGCAAATGACAGTGAGTATTTGACTGCTGTCATCTTATGAGGAACCAACCATCATTTAAGAGTTCTAATTGTATGTTGCCTGGTAAACAAGTGAAGAGCGTCTGGTGGATTCTAGGATTTAAAAGCTACTGTTGAAGTGACAGAAAGTACATTTTACTGTTGACAATTAAGCTTTGCTTAGATCACTGCAGACACGTTATCTATATCCCACCACTATCTGACCCATATTGTCCAATGCTGTTATTAATTTCTGCACGAGTCTCAGCTCACATAATCATGTAAAATGTATGTCTTCTAGCATGGCTACTACACGGTGGATATTTTGTTTAGTTTTTTCTTCTTCAAAAAATACATCATATGTAAATTCTGTTACCATATTGACAGTTTGAAGTGGCATATTCCTTAAAAGAATGACAAAAGTGCCAGTTACATACTGCACCACGTACTGGCAGCAATAATAGTTTTTGATTGATATTTGCATGTATCTATATTTTTTAAAAATATCTTTGGTATTATATAATGTTCTATTTCATACCTTAAATAATAACCTACATCTATCTCTAATCCCTCAGGTCGGTCGGCTGGAGAACGCTATTGGCTGGTACCACAGTCACCCGGGCTATGGATGCTGGCTCTCTGGTATAGATGTCAGCACTCAGATGCTCAACCAGCAGTTTCAGGAGCCTTTTGTGGCCGTTGTGGTAAGACTGGAAACCATAATCATTTTTTAATTTCAATGTAAATGCTTCATTTACTGTGATTTGTAATTGTACCCCATTTAAATGGTACTCAGGAAAGTTAAGATCTTTTCTGTCTAAGTATGACAATACAAGTTAATGTGGGTGTAACTGAGAAGGGGGTGAGATTGTTGATGTATGAGTTGTAGGTTTCCATGTAGTACTGATTAATATTTTGCTATTGCAACCATATATGCTATTTACACTTCATTTGGTTCAGCAGTGCTTAAATGCCATGGGCGTCATATAATTAAGTGTTTATTTTCAGCTCACTGACAGCCATAGTAAAAGGCTCCTGGTGGCCAGATTTGAGTGGTCCCTGGAGGTTTGAATGACCCCTGACTTTGTTTTCCTGTTCTACTGTATCTTGCTTCCTACAGATCGACCCCACTCGGACAATTTCTGCGGGGAAAGTCAACCTTGGCGCCTTCAGGACCTACCCAAAGGTAAAGCAAGACTGTATATAGCGGCAGTTCTCCTGAGACCATCACTCTGAAAGTAATAAAATAATTTGCAATTAATGATTCTTGTGCTTTTGTGGTTTTATTGTTGTATATTTGTTATGCAAATTAAACCAGAACTGATGATCTTGTAATTCAGTCTATCTCATTACTTTACTCCTTATTAGGGTATTAATTATCTGGTTATGTTACAAAAAAGCTATTGCGTTTGTTGTTATTTCTCAGCATTTCCTCTTTGGATTTTCAGGGTTACAAACCTCCTGATGAAGGACCCTCTGAATACCAGACAATCCCCTTGAACAAGATTGAAGACTTTGGTGTTCACTGTAAACAGTGAGTAGTGATACATATCACAGTGTTGTCGCTATATTGAAGATGTTTACATCAATACTTATAACGTACATATCCTGTAAATGATATTTTTTAAATGTTTACCTTAATTGCAGTGCAATAATATAGTGTACTCTTCACAGCATGACTGTTTACTGTACACACTTGTGTTTTTGCTTAATTTTATGTAGGTATTACGCCTTGGAGGTAACTTACTTTAAGTCCTCCCTTGATCGGAAGCTTCTGGAACTCCTTTGGAATAAATATTGGGTCAATACCTTAAGTTCCTCAAGTCTCCTCACGGTATGTAGGCCACTTCAAAAAGCAAAAGGTTTGGTAATTGTTTGACATTTTGATTTATGGTTAATTATTACACTATAACTCATTGAGACATGTGGTCACTCGCTTGTGATGTTGTGATTTATTGCTGCTTAGTAGCCAAGAGTCCCTGTTTATTGATTTTAGTAATAAGCTTAATTTAAACTTTTTAACAAGGGATATAAGTATTAAAGTTGGACCCAACTCCAGTGATACAGAAATGGCCATGGTTCACTGTGGATCATCACCCCCCCCCCCCCCCCCAGAGTTTATTCCCATTGTGGATGCAGTCACTCTGTCCCGAGCTTGACTAAACAGTCTAAATAGGCATCAGGCTTATCCAAACAGTTAGCTTTTTGGCATTCTGGATGAAGATGAATTGACTAGATGTCAAGAACAAGCTGCTCCCTGACAGGCTTTGTCAGTTGTTACACTGTCACCCTAGTCAGGGGCCCCTGTGTCATTGTGTTTTAATTACCTTTTCCACTAAAAACACAGCCTCACCTTAAGCAAACCTTTCACTGACTTCTTTTCATTCACCACAAAACACAAACTGTTCCTACAGCTTGTTAGACTGATGTGTTGCCATCCAGTAAAATCCTTCGTCTTTGTGGAAAATCTGTTATCTAGCTTTTGTGGGCAAATTATGCATGAATGGGTTTCTGTGTGTTTGTGTTTGTTGGATGGTCAGAACTCGGACTACACCACAGGCCAGGTGTTTGACCTGTCGGAGAAGCTGGAGCAGTCGGAGGCCCAGCTAGGCAGAGGCAGCTTCATGCTAGGGTTGGACACGCATGACAGGAAGTCTGAGGACAAACTGGCCAAAGCAACACGAGATAGGTAAATCTTTTCCTTAGAAAAGAACTTACTAAATTACTAATTTGTTAAATAATAATTCATTATTTTTAATCCTGTATAAAATGTGTTGTTTTCATCACATTTCCACAAATAATTTAAATGAAATTAGGACTGAATCTTCTTTTTCTTAACTGTTTAATTTAGGGCTGCAACCAAAATTATTTTTATCACTGATTTATTATTTTCTCAATTCATCGATAAATATTCTTTGTATAAAATGTCAGAAAATAATTTTAAAAAATGTCCATCATAGTTTCCAAAGAGACGTCTTTAAATGTCACTGTTTTGTCTGACCAACTGTCTGAAACCCAAAGAGATTCCGTTTACAGTGATATAGAACAGAGAATGATTCATACAGTTAATTGATTATCAAAATAGCGGCTGATTAATTTTATGTCGATCGACTAATTGTCTTAAATACGTTTGTGATTCAAACCAACCCAAAGAGCATCCAAACTAAGCCTGTTAATCTGTTCATTATTACTAGTTTCAGTAATATCTGATACACAGACTACTACAACACCATCACTGTTTATTGCTCTTGGTAGTTTACGGATACCGGTGTAGATGCCACATCTCTGTATGTTGCGTCTGTTTTGCTGGGGTTATTGCACTAATCTCCATTTTCACTGTGGTTATTTTTAGCTGCAAGACAACCATAGAGGCGATTCATGGCCTGATGTCTCAAGTCATCAAGGACAAACTCTTCAATCAAATCAACACATCTGCCAATTAAACCTGAACGACGAGCTGAGCTTTGGATTTCACCTGGAAATGTTTTCTTGTGCATGTCTAGCACTTACAGGTTTATGGTTTATGTTTAACTGCTAAGAGTAGCATTATGTGTGATTTCACTTGGGAGTGTTTTTTTAATTCAATTTTTTCTTTTGTCCTAGAAGTAGCTAAGGATTATACAGTCAGGACTCGTGCAAAAAAATAAAACATACAAGAGTGCTGTATGTGGGTTCTAATGATTTTATTTCAGTCTATGTTTGCAACATAGTCTCTGGTGTAACGTATATTTGTCTTCACATCTTCATTCCTATGTAGATATAATTCAGTATCGGTGTGAGCCACTGCGGCTTAGTTTCTCTTCATGCTCTGGCTGTTTCTAAAGATCTGTTGGCATGTAGGGCCTGTGTTATTCTGCAGCCCAACATATGAACACGCCATGGTTACATTAAACGCATAGCCAAACCTAGCACCAGTCAGTCATTCAAGTGGAGCCTGTCACATCATTACATAATGGAACAACAAACTCAAGCTTCTGCATAGGCTCAAAGAGAATCAGCTGCCATGTGTGGGATGTCTCTGTGGAGTCACTCCCAGCACAGTTTGGCTCTCGGTCGTACACGCTCCGGCGGAGTGGCCAGCTCGTCAGGTTATACTGTGGCAGTGATGCAGCGCAGAAACAGAAGCCGTACACACTGGAGTCTATTCACCTAACGTGTCTGGTCTCCATCGAAGCAGACACTCACCAAGTCTGCCCTTTTTTTAACAGACAGCTGCTTTGGCCTGGGTTTGTGTCATGTCTTTTTTTTATGGTATTGTAATGGCTAAATGTATATTTTTGATGTCATGTATTGCAGAGGAGACAGTCCCAGTGGGACAGTGGAGATGTCTGCTTTTTCTCATGTGCATGAGCTTTGGCATCACTTCTTATAATGATTTTCTTTTACCATTATTTAGGCCATGTCTTAAATTGGATGGTGTTCAGTACAGCGGTTTAGGAAGAGGAAACTTATTAGATTATATTTAATGTAATTTGGATTGCTGAATAGGTTTCTGCACATATGGTCTAGTGAATAGCTCATGTTTTTGCCAGATATTTAAATGTATTACATGGATGACTGTCACAGTGCTGAGGAAGTATTTAGAGTATGCACTTCTAAAATAGTTTCACCTAATGTTTGGTCTTTCTTGGTGATTTAAGAATCAGTGAAACATATTGAACTCATTGGACATGTAAATATTGTGATTTTCACCAGATGGACATTTGTATGCATGACTAAAGATGGAATACGAAAATGTATGTAAATTCTAATCAAGTCAAATTGTTCAGCTCTTTTAACATTTAGCAATCCTCTAATTCCAAAGTATGTTCCCCATTACTAAAAAAAGCCCTTACAGATTGCAGTGGAATGTCCACACAAAATAAGGGGGTGAACCACAGGGTGATTTGGCATTGATATGAGAGCAGCAGATTGATAAGGCTCGTGATTCATAGCTATACAGTATTGAGCCCCTATTAGCCCACTAAGATCTGGAGATGTTGTGTTTTGTTTGGCTCTCAGAAGAATTAACGTCACATGCACGGTGCCATGAGTGAAGAAGTTGATCCCAGCTCAGAAAGCTGGAGGTGCTACATTTCCTCTCCGCCATGTGCTCCTGCATAAGTGGAGACAAGTCACTCCCTTACAGGAAACTCAGGTCTTGACATGATGTAGATTAACAACACAGGGGTCACTGGGACAAGTCGGCTGTGGCCCTGATTTGGTGTGTTCCATAGAAAGATTGACACAACAGCTTCGAGAAATGTCATCTTAGCTGCAAAGAGTCAGAAAATATAAACATTTAGTTTAGTGGCTGTGATAACTACTTACACTGCCAAATAATTTGTAATATTCCAGTTGAATTCCTAATATATAGTAGCCTAACTATTTAATTTTCTTCAAAGCCTTTAGAGGATTATAGATTAATAAAGCAGAATTTGGTTAATTGTTCCATGTTGGCAAAAACCATAACTTCTCTATACAAGGCACAAGGTTGTTTATTTGTCATGATACAACAAAAGGTTGTATAACGAAATGAAAGTTTGTAGTCCCTTCATGCTACACACACAGAATTGAACACATAATTAAATGTGTATTAAAATATGGTAACATCAAAATAAAGTAAAATAAAATAAATATGCTATATACCTACAGGTATTTCTGCAAAGGCTATAACACGTATACCCCATAGACACCTTTCACAGTCACACAGGATACACCCAATTATAATGGAATTTATATAAGAATTTATCTTGCTTTTATTTGCAATTATACAATTAAAATGCCAATACATACATTGAAAATTAAATCAATGTACTAATTAATTTAGCAACTATTCGTATTTAACAAAAAATTTGTTAGTTTATTTCGTTTTGCTTCCGTGGTTTCCATAGCGACATCATTGTAGTAAACACAACAGCCTTTACTCGCGGTTTCACTGTACAACTTCTCTGTTTTGCCAGCTCCCATTTAAAATTTTACTGAACACCTCGAGAGGTAGGAGAGTTTAGTTAATATTTTACATATGTCCAAATTCACCATTTAATAAGATGGAATTTCATGCTAAATTTGCTTCGGAAGAAGCTACAGTGCTACGACAGCTTTTAAGCTAGCTATGAATGTAGCCATCGCTATCTACATAATCAGGGCCCATTTTTAGTCCACAACACCCTACTGGATTTGTTCTGGGCCTTCTACAGCCGTCTGGTCCCCATCACCACCTTTTACTCGCTACCTGCATTAACTTTTGTGGACAGACCCTTTTGTCCCTCACGTTTCTGCACCCCGACATCTGAAAATCCTAGTCCCTGTAGAGAGGCCCAGGGGTCTATAAGTTCAATTAGCCTAGAGCTTCTGTCCACAGTTCAGCTCAGCTCTGGTTTATCGATCAGTGCCTCTTGTCTCCTATAACCTCGGCCTGATGTCTTGAGATCAAGTGTGGAAAATACCCGCTGTCACATCTCTCTGCCTTTCTCTAACAGTACCATTGGCTAATTAGCCAAAATTAGCAGGTGTAGAGGTGATGTATAATAATGCCTATTTGCAAAGCAAAATCAAAGTGCAAATTGTCATAGCTCAAAGTCAGGTCAAGATAATAAATAAGTCCCGTGGGTACTGAATGAAGGGAAGTAGTAGAAGCTCTGCTCACTCTGCTTTGGGAATTGCCCGCTTTAATTACAACACAAATTGAGTGGTCACCCAACCTTTGGGTGCTTAGCACGTTTCCTGGAAAACAGTAATGTTTTTTTTTCTGCCATCAATTATCTTTAATTGTGAATTGACAATTAGGTTTTAGGCCATTTAACGTTCTGTGCAAGGTTAATCTTTGCCTGTCATCTGTGATTACAAATGCTGAAGTAATTTGACATTAATAAATAATTATCCAGAGGAACATTTGTTTGCCACCTTAGGTGTACTTCAGCTCACATGTGTCTATTTTTCCCCCAGACAGACAGATCTAGTCGCTGCTGAGGGCTGAATGCTTGGCTGCGTATGAAAAGGATTCTCTCTAAAGCAGAGTCTGTGACCAGCCACCATGGTACGCCTGACCATAGAGCTGATTGCTAAATCTAGAAACCACTTCAAAAAGAAAAGGGGCCTCTCCTTCCCAGAGTACCTCAAGACACTCACCCACCTCCACTTTTCCAGCAAGAGTATTGAAGATATTGTAAGTAGCCATTATTAACGCTGACGTTTTCTGTGCTTTTCTTCCTCCTATAGGTCTCACTTTTAAATTATTTTTTTTCAGGGTGATCTCTCCATGTGTAGAAACCTCACTGTCCTTTACCTATATGATAATCAGATCACACACATTTGCAACCTTGACTTTGCCTCCAACCTCACTCATCTGTATATGCAGAACAACAACATCACTTATATAGATAATCTCCACAATCTGCAGAAGCTCTCCAAACTGTGAGTAGACACGTTTAACCTATTGTTGTGCTGTGCTGTGACAGTCTTTTCAAGTCTGAGGTGTGCGTGTGTGTGTGTGTGTGTGTGAACATGTGTGTGGTTTTTGCTGCTCTGCAGGTATCTGGGTGGAAACAGGATTGCAGTGGTGGAGGGCTTAGACGAGCTCCATGAGCTCAAAGAGCTTCATCTGGAGAATCAGAGGCTGGCACCAGGGGAAAAGTTGCTCCTTGACCCAAGGACTCTCCTCTCACTGGCTGTATGACCTATTTTCTCCACTGTTCAGTACAAAGATAGTATGAGAAAATAAGGACGATCCCCCGTTCCTGGCTTTGGGCTCTCTTCATTTCAAGTTATATATGTTTTAAGCAATCTAAAAGTCGGAGGAAAACTTAATTTTCTCTTTTCATACACAAGGATATATGTGTGGCGTATCAACGTGGTAGGTTATCACATCCAGTTTAAAAGACTGATTTCTCAGAGGTCGGGGATCCATGTAAAAGCAGTATTGTGCTGGGTTTGATGATGTCAAAGAGACCTCTGTTGCTGTCTCTGGTCTGACAAATCAGTCTGGTCTGTTTACTCCGTTTTCTGCCTAGGCCATGGATAAACACACCAAAAGTCTCAGCTTCTTGTTTGTTTGGATAATTAAAGAAATTGCTGTGCAAATTTAAAGAGTTCCAGCTTTTTATAAATGTGCCATTATAGAACTTCAATCCAAGATGAATATTTAGCAACAGCACTATCTAGAGTCTGATTTGGACATGATCCTAGTAGTTCAGGCATGTAAAGAGATCAAAATGCTTAATTCAAATGGATCACAAGTGAAGAAACAGATGTAAATACTGTAAAGTGCACATTTATTTTGGGAACACAATAGTACTGTAGTATGCTTCCTCTAAATATGGGTTTGTAGACAGTAGCATTTTTCTTTGAGTGTGTGTCAGCACAAACAAAATCAACATAAATGAATGTTTATGTGCTTTGTGATTTTTGCCTTTTCCTGGGAAGTTATTTGAATAACTGTAAGGGATAACGTTTGGTGGAGTGGTTCACAGATATGTATCTTTTGGTGAAGTGGGTGGGGTTTTCACAATGTAATATGTATTTGTAATATATAGTCATTGTATTAACAGTAAAATGAACTCTTATCTCCTCATGAATCTGAATTCTTTGCACAGGAATCTCTTTGTGTCCTGAATATCAGTAACAACAACATTGATGATATCAGGGACCTGGCAGTGCTGAAGGAACTCCAGCATTTCTCTGCTGCTGACAATAAATTGCACAATATGGAGGTAATTCTTTCAAAAACTTAACTAAATGTGTCTGTGAAGCCAGTTGCCATTTAAGAGTTTCTTCTATGGTGTGACAGAAGTGGAAAATGACTGCATGCTGTGCAATGTGCAGTCAAAGTAAATAGTACCACATCACAGTGACAATGCATGACATTGCGTATTAAAGTAAACATACAAGCTATTAGTTGATCAGGTCAGCATTAACATTGTTCTGTAGCTTTCTGCAGTGATGTGTGAAATGATATGGAGAACAGGGTTCTAAAGAACCAAATCCTGCAAATCCCGCCATAGGTTCCCAGTCTCCATGACTCGCACAGGGTCAGAATTATTCAACAAATCAGCGAGCCGTTCCCCTGGGATCTTTCTCGCTGACAGCTTTAAACAAGCACAAGTTTCTCTCTTTCCTTGGCTGATTTTTCCTCTCTGCCTCAGAATTCTCTATTTGATACTCTAAACCACCAGTACTTAAGTTTTTAGGGGATTCATCAGAGGCAGAGATATGATTTATGCTCACTGACTTCCTTGAAAAATGACCTGCTTGTTTTTGAGGCTCACTCTCTGATGGCAGAAATCTTTCTGTTTGAATAGATATATTAACTGAAATGGTTGATGACTTCATTAAAAGGGGGGCTTATTCTTCTTTCTTACTCGCATTTAACACCAGGATAACACATTGAAAGCAATTTATAATTGACTGTGTTGCAACGGATACTTTCTTAACACGAGTGATTTTCTTTTGAGAACGTTGATGCAGGTAATTGCTGTACATGTGTCATTTTAGCAGATATCTCCTATAATTTATACAACCCGTCTGCCACTATTGATCCTGCAAGGACAGCCCTCCAAAGGATCAATCTCTTCTTCTGCGCCATTTGCTCGAAATCCAGTGAAAACATTATGGATTTTTAAAATAGATTATGACAGGCAGTCAGCTAGGGTGACAAATGGGGAGCATCTTCGGAGACTGTTAGCTGTGTGCAGGGCAGAGAGGACAGGGGAATCGAAGCCCTGGTCAAATACAGGTTCATAACGGGCCCATCATTAGTCCAGGCGAGAGAGGCAGCCAAGCTCAGTGAGTATCTAGCCTTTGCTGTTCTGCACGCCCCCGCGTGGGGGGCAATTTGGCACTGGGCTACTCTTCGGTGAGGGCTCTCTGAGTGACGGCCCTGACACGATCATTTATCAAAGCCTGGGAGCGCGCGGTGCTCAGGGGTCCCCTCTGAACTGATTGCAGCACGAGCTGGAAAAGTGGAAGCGCTTTGGCCAAGACAGGAAGGCAATGAACAATCAGAGCGTGTCCAGAGAGTATTCATATTTCCAGGCTTGGATTAATGTGCCTTTAGATAAACATACAACTGCAGGCAACTCGCTGGAGGAGCCAGCTTCACACTGCCCCAGGAGGAAACTTGTAGTTACATGACACCGGCGACACTGTTTATTAAAATAGACTGATGTGTTGTTTATGCCCTTTCCATTGGCCTTTGTACTTCACATTACCATTCACTTAGGCCATGTCTTTAAACGTTTTCCTGGTGTGTCTCTGATTAGTAATTAATCCTATTATAAATATGCATTATATTTGTTTAAAAGAAAGTTGTCAATTGTTTCCTGTTTAGTCACTGTGCATAGCTTTAGAGACAAAGCATTGCCATCTGAATCATTAGTGATTGAAATGACAACACAACATGTAATATTGTATTTTCAGGAGTTAGAGGATGTGTCCAGCCACTGGCCTCTGCTGCTTCAAATGGATTTACGTGGAAATCCTGTGTGTAAAAAACCAAAGTACAGAGACCGCCTGATAACCGTGTGCAAAAGCCTCGGTGAGATGTTTTTTGTTTCCTTTTTCAATGGCATCCTAATCTGAAAATGCACTTTATTGCTTTGACTCAACCCAGGCTAACATGCAAGACCCCACTTAGTGATAAAACTAAAATTATACACTGTTCACTTTTCAAATTTCATATCAAATTTGGTTTGATCAATTTCTTTCTTTCTTTTTCATAGAGGTTCTTGATGGAAAGGAAATTAATGAGTTAACCAGACAGTTCCTCATTAACTGGAAAGCGTCCAAAGAGGCCAAGAAGAAAAACAACAAACATATGATGACTGGACCGTGGATCCCTTACACCTTAATAAGTAAGTCACTACATTCTGTACTTTTTAAATCTGCTGTAACAATTTTTTTTACAATTATTCCTCAATCATAATACATGGGATCAAGCATATTTTAACAAATCAGCCCTTTTATTTATTTTTACAGTGATTTTAATTGTCCTCTTCACTGTCTTTCTTTGTTTTTGCAAGGTCACATCTTTAAATTTGTTATTATTTTTGTGTATATAATTAGTGAATTGAAACAGCATAACAACATATTATATTTTCTGTAAAATACGGAAACCACTAAAAAGATTTTTGAAGACTTACACTTAAACTTCACAGTATTTTGTGTGTGTGTTGTGTGTTGTGTGTGTGTGTGTGTGTGTGTGTGTGTGTGTGTGTGTGTGTGTGTGTGTTCTACTGTGACTTTGTTTATATTCCAGATGACATTAACATGGGTCAGGGTCCACATCCTGGTCACATCTACCAGCAGGCTAACGTGCAGAGGTGGAAGCCGCAGCAGTCTCTCAGGTCCAGTATCGTAATTCACCCAGATCTTGGTTAACGCGAGAGAGTGCACATTTTTGACTCACTCTATTTTAACAGTTAACTAAATGATTTAATTGTTGACATTGACATTAAATTCTCAGTGTTACAACCAGCTGCCACATAAACACTTCATGATGAAATGTACAAATTATTACAACTGCTAATAGGTTTGAACTCATTTTTTAGATTAGTTTTATTGGAAAGTGATATCAGGTATTTTACATCACTATGTGTCAGTTATTTTTTATTTATTATTAAGATATTTTTCTTTATTAGCATGCTGTAATTGTCAATCTTTAATGAATATTCACTGCCCCAAAGTATTTGTAGGAGAAATGCTCTATGATTTTTGACCCACGATCTTATAATGTTTATTGTACTTTTTTTTTTATATCACAGGGCACAAAAATGTAAGATTCCTATGAGTGGATGTTTCAATCATGTGGCTGTCTCATCACCCATCTGCAGTCATGTGGATGCTTAAGACAAACCTACCAGTCCACTAAAAATCTCCACCTCCTCTATACGCACAAATTAGCTGGAGCCCAGGACTAATCCTGCCTTGTATGAGCACTTTGCTCACCACAGCTGTGGATCTTTTCTCCTTGTACATGTAGCAACACAGAGAACAGTAACTGTCACCCGCTTGCTGTGATGTCCATATAGCTGCACGCCCTTCACCGTCCCTGCGGTATCATTGATGTATTGGATTATAGTGGTTTAAAAATTTGACTTTTCAATGCAGATTGTAAAATATTTTCATCTGTCTCCTATAACTTAATCCAAGTTCCTATAAATGAACGAATAGGCTGGAAATAATCTAAAAATAAAAGAGTAAAACAATGAATTAATGGCCTCTGCACATTTCTTTCCACAGCTGGTTTAGTTCTAATTACATTTTTGGGGTCTGATGATATTAATAATTGTTCCAACTCAAACTGTTCCTTGCTGATCGTCCCACATGTTCTACACCACGTCATTTTTCTTCTGCATGCATTTCTGCAGATAAGTGAACAGGGAGATGCAGAGTGGCACAATCTAATGATCATTCTGCCCCACCATTACAAGGATTTACATTATCTAAAGCTAACAACATGTGCTTCTGTTTAAACAACTGTGACAAATGATTCAGCCTCTTTTAGAGCAAATACTGTAACAATGCGGATATATTTATTGCCATCATTGTGACTAAATGTTTGAATGAGCTTTTAGGGAGCCACGTGGGTGTGTCACCCCTGAAAGATGCGGGTTATTAGGGAAACAAGCTTACTTAACCTTCTTTTACTTCGCATTGTAATTAGTGGCCCGGAGCAGTACTGTTACTCCATCCTTACAAAAACAATGTTTTCAGTCCGAGGATATACATATTATGAATAATTCCTTTCATTAATTTACCGACATCTCCGTTTGGAGCCCTGGAAATCAGAGTGATTAATTTATGAGTCTCACAAGAATTTCCTCAATGCCTGCATGTTGATTGCAGTGCTGGAGTTTATTTATTAGCTGTTCCAATGAGCTTGCAATTCAAGACACCCTGGCAATTAGTCAAATGTTTTGCATATCACCTTACACTTGTCAGCTTGTCTTCCAGGTCGATTCCAAATAGCGTTTTGAAAGATTAACCTTTATATCTGACCATGACGGGCACATTTTTTCTTTGAGGTAATTTTGACTCACTTTCTCCCCGTTGCCACTTTTTTGATAGGCTTTAAAGAAAGTACAGTGTCAGGTTCGCAGCCAATTACAGAGGGATATGGCCCACCACATATCAGCGTTAAAGGAGAGGAAAGTCCTGCCTCTGGCGTTGAAAACGAGCCTCTGCTGCCCTCTCAGACTGAAATAAGTTAGGAAAGCGAAAGGGCAGTCTTCTACCACTGCGAGGGAGAGTTATGGGGCGAGTGATTAATTACGTCTGAGTGAAATACTTTGCCGCTTTGTGTGTCCCATAAATTAAGGCCTCCTGAGACTTTTACGCACACAGGTGAGGTGTTGGATGAGCGCACGGGGACCTTTTCTGCAGACGCACCACTTTATAAGGATAACCTGGACGTGGACTGGGACTATTCTGCACTGAAGAGCAAATTCTCCAACAAAGCCTTCTTTGGATCGCCTTCATGACGTTTTTCAAGACAGCGCCTTTGAGAGATACCATAGGTAAACATCAGACCGCCGGCCAGAAACTGCGCTCTTGAGTTTGCACACTGGCGATTTGCCTGCAGGTTTTCGGCAATGTCACTGAGCAATCTGCGCAAATTCAGGAGTCTTCAGTGCAACTTTGTACAGCTGTCTGTTCTGACGTTTGGCATTTTTTTGTCTGTTTAATTTGCAGCACCATGCAATTTTACAACAGACATCTTCAATAATGGACTTTAGACCAGACAACTTAAGTTATGGTTTAATACCTAAATACAAAAGCAACAATTTAGAAGTTAAGGCATAAAGGTTACAATAAATAATTCATGTTGTCTCTAACATACACTTGTCAGTAAGCCCATATCTTGAACTCAGTAAAAAGTGCAATAAAATGGCCAGGTTAAACTTGTAAAAGTGGTGTGTCTCTATCCATCTGATGTTATTCTTCAGGTCTGTAAGTGCACCCCGATGGTTGGAAGACAGACACTCCGAATGGACAGCGGTAATTGCTCCGGGGCGGTAGTGGATGACAGCCCTGCATCCAGTCCGAGCTCCAGTCCCAGTCCCGACGGTCGTCGTCGGGAACTCCAGCGGGCCAGGGTGCTGCAGGCCGGCGGGCTCGGCGGCAGGGGACGCCCGGCAGCAGCGAACGCGGCGCGGGAGAGGAGCAGAGTACAAACCCTGAGAACCGCGTTCCTGGAGCTACAAAGGACTTTGCCGTCCGTGCCGCCGGACACCAAGCTGTCCAAACTCGACGTGTTGATACTGGCCACCACCTATATTGCTCATTTGACTCGAACACTACAAGAAGAAGGCACCGAGGAGGGAGAGAGCACAAAACAAACAGAGGCGTTACACTCATTGAAAGGTGACGGCTACCTGCACCCAGTGAAGGTCAGTGATAATAATAATAATAATAATAATAATAATAATGGTATTTCAGTTGGTAATCTGTTTTTGTATACAATTGTGCATCAGTATTTAATTGTGAAATTGTTTAAACAATCTTTGAAAGAAAATTCTCACTGCATGTATCTACATTGCAACACTGATGAGTTATAGGCCTAGTTAGTTGTTGTAACACATTTTCAAAGCATGCAACATCATCCTCGTTGGCCTTGGGGCCTATTTTAGAGGCTGATTTACTAACAAATGAAATGTCTTCACAGAAATGGCCTATGCGATCCAGACTATACGTCGGGGCATCCGGACAGTTCCTCAACACCGCAAATCCTTCAGAGTCAGAGAATCAAGGCCCTTCATCGTCCACCTCCCAGTAACAGGCTTAAATGATTTGTATGAAACGATTTCGTATTTGCATGAGTTCATGCTGTGGCAGCAGCATACGCCTTATTATTGTAGAACAATAGATTTTACTTCCACTAAAGCCCTACCAATAGGAAGACTTTGTAAATTAATATATTATGTGACTTTTATTGTATAGTAGCCAACATTTTGAGAATTATGTTTCTCTGTTGTTATTTTGGCTAATCCTGTTTGCCCTGCATTGTGCAGCTCCATACTTGCCCCCAGGTAGCATATTTTTAGAAATTCCATGGGGTAATGAGCCGGTCATGCTTGAGGTGTGCACTTTCAGTTCGAAACATTTGCACTAAATGCATGTGTGAATAACTTAACATCTGTCATGTGAAGTGGTCTGTCAGAGAGTCAACAATAGAGGTTCTTCATCTCATGTTCCCTCTTATTTTTACATGCATGGTTGTAAGTGTGTTTGTGAATAAATGAATTCAGTGAAAGAAGACGAGGCTTCCGACGTTTTGACAAAGGGCCCTTTTTCTTTAGGTCTATTTAAGAAAATAAAAAAAATAAAAAAAACGAATACTAATTGAAAGTTCATATAGAGCTTGTCAGGGGATCAATTTATTATTATTATTATTATTATTCAACCATTGAAGATTGTTCTTCAGACAGTCGCTTTATTTCTGTGACACTTAGTTACATTGAAATCAATCAAATTAATAAAATAGGCCCACAGCTGTGGTGCTCCCTTGTTCATTAAATAAAGAAATTTCTTTGAATGGGTCATCACCACACAAAATTTTACAGCAGCAGAATGACTGCACCTAAATAAAGAATATGCAGTAGACTTTCAGACTGAGTAGCGGACTTTAGAAATCCATGGGGCTAAACAATAATAAATATATACATACTACACACATCTGACAGTGTTTCAGCCGTGTTTATAGTGTCAACATGTTTAAGTAAGCAAACAATAATTACCTGTATTTGTACATATTAAAGGCGTAAATATTTAGCAAATTAGCCTCTTCATATTTAACATTTCAACAGTGTATAATTTCAGTGGAAGCAAGTGATCTGAAGTTTTTTTTGACGCTCATTAGAAAACGTCTTTATTTGGTCGAATTTGTTAGACTAATTGATCTGATTATATGATGAATTATTTGTAAAATGCATTTACAACTGACATATGAGAACATTCTTAAGAGGAGATAAAGCGTAGTATAAGTTCATTTTAGCCAGTTTGTGGGAAATGAGGGAGGTGTCTAAGTAATTAGCTATAAGGAGCCGTGTCTGTTTTGTCTGCAGTGAGTTGAAGAAAATAAAGATAATCTGAATGCCCACTACAGCTGACTAATTCGTCACAAATCTGCAGCTATTGTGTAATGAAATAGAGAGAATGCATTAATCGGTTAGGCCTACTATCTTATATATGAGCGTCAACGAAATGGGATGTAATTGGTGCTGCCTTAAAAGTACTGCTCAGCTGTACGCTTCAGGAGCTGCAGTGCGCAGCTGTGCAGCGCAGTAAAGGGAGGTCGGATCCGGAAATCCGTCCACTTTCCTTGGAGACTCAGCCATGAGCAGAGAGGTCCCTCGCTTCGTTCCACAGCTGAAAACTAAGAAGCCCGCTTCGTGGTTAATCTTCGATGCGAAGGTAGGTGATAGTGAGGGGATTTATGTGATTCCACAGCTGTATTGTTTGCACATCGCAGACGTGTTTCCAGGCGAATTCGCAAATAGCTCTGGAGTGCTGCATGTTAGCTAGCTAGCACCTAGCTCACATGTCGGCCACGTGGGAGAAAATAGTTAACAGTTGATATGGAGAAGTCTTCATCGCGGCCAACACCAAACACATAAGCTAAAGTAACTTAATATTAATCGTATACTATAACGCACATGGCTAGCGTATATTAAGTTTAACATTGCACGCGCTTTGCTCTGCTTTTAGTCGTGAAACCTAGCTGTGTGACGTAAACGCACGTGGATTTGGATGTGAATTTAACGTAGGGCCTACTATCCCGTTTTTCTCACACCTGTTTTGCATGCAAAACGTCCCTTGTACCCTAATTCAGGCAAATTATGTGACAAAGGTAATGGAACTTTAAGGTCGCCGCGCCAACTAGTAATCCAGTTTTGATGCCTCACTGTTGGACAGATCTCATCCCTGAAGTAATGCAATAAATCATTCTTTCAGACAGTTCAAAAGGGGGACACAACTCCCCCTGTCTCATTCAGCTTCTTACACCCCTGACCAAATCAGGTTGTGTCCAGGGGTCAGCAGCAGAGCTGCTGGTCAGGGAATTGCCCCCTCCCATTATTTCACTGGGGAAAGTCATCGTGGCTCCCCCTGAGGACGTGAGGTCATGGCAGAGGTCATGACCTGCTGTTGAACCCCTACTCAAACCTGCGAGGTTGGCCATGCTCCCAAGCTGTGTTACACTGCACCCTTCGACCTTCGGGTGATCGGTCATCTGTTGTCACTATATTGGCTATTACTTCAGTACGACTTATTGATTCAAGCTGAAAATCAATAGACCACTACTGAGATTCATTATTTGAGGTTTGAAGTCACTGTGACAGACTTGTACAGAGAACTAGCTTTATTTTTTTTAAAGTTATGAACAAGAATTAACTTTGAATATGTATTTGTCTTTTGCAGATGACTATGGCAAATTTGATGTACTATTGTTACACCTGAAGGGTAAGATTAAGGTTCTAATCAGTGTTGAAACAAAATCATAATGAAATAACTGTAAATGAGAAGTGGAATCTGTGTACTCATATTGCGTTTTTATTTCAGATGTCTGGTCACCGCATCCATGCAGATGGCCAAATAATGGTTTTCACCGTGTGGACCTGAAGGTGAGCCTTAAATATTTGTAGTTTTTTGGTTGTGCAGTCCTGCTGCTGGAATAGTGATGACTTCACATCTTTGCCGTTTACCCATCAGACAATAAGGTGGTGAAACTGTGACGAACTGAATCGCCAGCGAAATAAGATCAGTGGAGACTGGTTTTACAAAAGAGTAAATTTGATGTGGATAATGGGATGAAGACTTTAGTTCATATCAGTCCTGTTATGTCTTGTTTCCCTTAGGCTGCTTCCCGAGGGTGTGTGGTGGTCACAGAGATGCACCAGATGTAATCTTTTGTCTCTTGTGCTGAACAGGAGGTGAGTTACTTGTTACAGTATTTTTCGTCTTGTGCTACTTGATAGCACTATGGCCTCAGTCAGAACAGGAAGTGTGGAGTTTGCATATTCTCCCCATGTCTGTGTGGGTTTCCTCTGGGTGCTCCGGTTTCCCCTACCATCAAAAACAGTGTTGTTTGACCAGACACGGCATTTCAATCTGGAGTTGCTCCCCGGGCACTGTACTGTACTGGCTGCCCACTGCTCCCTTGGCGATGGGTTAAATGCAGAGAATGAATCTCGCTACATGTATGTGACAAAGTACCTTTTCTGGAACAACACTGGTCATGGTTTACCCACCAAACATAACAAATAGTGAGCCTGACTTGAGTGACCAGCTCCAGAAATGTAATGTGATTTTTAGTAGACTGACTTTGGAAGGCGTCTTTACATTCTTAATGATGAGCGGTGGCTACTCTTGCAGCTGGAATAGTGATGAGTCAACCTTTTTGCCGTTTACCCATCAGACAATAGAGTGGTGAGAGTTGTGACTACTGAATTACCAGCTGCACCTGTAGTTTTACTACTGACTGATTCCAAGGATCTGGATTTAAAGCAGTTACCGTAGTCACTTGTAGACAGTACATGTCCACCTGACTTATGAAATTGCATAGTTTTAACTTGAACAATCTTCCTTAATCCCCAACAGGTGAGCAGTTGGATCAGAAATGGAACAAAAACACACTTAGCGTTTGCTTCATCTCTTCTGTGGTAAGTATTAAACTACTTTATTTGCTGTATGTGTCCCAACTTAAAAAGACTTGCCTGTTTGCTTTATGTCCTGATTTTTAAAAAGTAATGATGAGTTCACTTTTCGCCGTTTACCCATCAGACCATAATGGGCTGCTGAGATGTGACTTAACTGAACTAAAAGACAAATGTGTAAAACTGTACAATTACACTCCCTCACTGCATACACATTAATTATATTTGTCACTGGTAAGGTTATGGATCCAGTTGAGTGAGACTGTCCGGGGGGAAGCCTCATTTGAAAAGTAAGTAATGAACCCAGCCTCTGTCAGCAAATATTACACTAATAATGAATTCATGTCTAGCTGTTTTCACATCATGCGAATTTTAATATTACTACTTTAATGCTTTAACTTTTTTGTTTATCTTACTCCAGTCTGTATTAATGTGTTTTTGTGTGGGGGGGGGGGATTTTTTCTTCTCTTCAGTGTGCAGCTGTGGCTCGGGAGTCAGACCGGGTTGCCCACTAATCAGAGGATCGACGGTTCAGTCGTCGGCTCCTCCAGGCTCCATGTCAAACTGTCCTTATGCACAACGCTGAACCCCGGCTTGCCCCCGATGGCTGTTCCATCAGTGTGTGAATGTTAATTTGTCTGCGCACATAGGCTCAGCAGCGCTTTGAGTGGTCGGAAGACTAGAAAGGTGCTATACAAATACAGAGCATTTAGTGTTGTGGGAGCTGATCATCATTTAGAGCAAGTCTTGTTCACCAGATTTCTTTTTACATTTGATGGCCTCCATTAATAAAAACCTGTCTGCAAGAAAATACCATAATCTTTGAATTTGTTTTACTTTGTGTGCTATCAATGCGTTGACTATGCAGGAAATAAATGAATGGTAAATGTGATCTTGTGCCACCTACCTGTGTCTTAACCTTTTGTAGAGAAGTCTTACTCCTCAGTGATGTATGTGTCTGCACCTGGTGCATAGGTGTAGATAAAGCGTAAAATATTCTGGTGGAGCTCATCCAGGGTCACGTCTCTCTTGTGCAAGCCATCCACGTCTCCCAGGTTACATGGAAACACCGCATCGGGTGGAATAACGAGAGCCGAGGCCCCTGTAGGAAGAGGCAGAAATCCCTCTAAACTATTTCTGAAATTTTGGCTTACATGGAGCCCTCAGTGCTTATTAATAACCAGGGCCAGGATGAAACCTAGGTATTAACCCAATGCTTCAAACCGGCACAACAATATCACAAGCATTAAATTACTTGACAAAAATGAACAGGATGTGCAATATGTTTATTTTTTTGTACTTAAAGGTATTTGTAAGGAATTGGTTGACAAACTACCATGTTTGAGAGTGACTGAGTTTTCACAGAGGAGAACAGCGATCACAGCGTCTTCCTCCAGTACTCGTGTTCTGAGACATAACTTGCAGTGGGCCTCAGCCAAAGAGATCCTTTAACAGAAAAAACAAACATGAAAAGAACCATATGACTGAACAACTGCCTGGGTAGTTACGGGTTGTTTTTAATGTGATGAATGAAAAGTAATATTGTATGAAGTCTGAAACTGGTACAGGCCAAGTAAATGTTTTGAGATTTAAAGCTCAGTCTGACATTTTTGTCCTGCAGTCAAAACATATTTATTTCCATCGTTATTTTCAGATATTTCACCACAGGGAAAAAGACTCATAAACGTGTCATAACCAAATGAAAAATAGTCATCTGAGAGTGTGCTTTGGATTAGTTTGCCACCTGGTGGAGGATAGTGACATTATACTGGACGACGACTCCTGATCTTAACATGTAGTCTGGCTGTGAGGCAGCAAATGAAGATGGGAAAACTAAAACAGTAAATAAAGTTTTTGCAGATTGCTTACAGAAGCTTGATAGAGGCCACAGACATCTTGACACCCTGACTCTGTGTTCGGACTCTACGGCTGGCCATGTAGTAACCGTGGATTATTTTCTCTGCTCCGGGGCTAAGATCCACTTGCAAACTCCGTGCATGAGCTACCAGCTGGAAAGTGTAGAATTAAGAACAGCAACTGAAGGTTAGTGTAAAATCAAGGCAGTAAATTTGAATAACGAAGAACGTGTGTTAACCTCCTTGTAGTCTTGAGTAGAAAACTCCCAGCAAGATGAGTAGAGGGGGTTTCCAGGGTGTACTGCCTGCTGGAGGGTGTGGACGGTCTGGGCAAGCAGGGCATGCTCCCCCACCATATCCCTACACTGAATGACCAGGCCAAAGGCGTCTGCCAACTGAATTGGTACGGGACCCATTTCCTGCTCACAAAGAAGAGACTGGGGCATCAGTAAGCTGTCGAATGGGCTGTTTTCAAAGTGTTAATCTGCCGAGATGATCTTTGTTTTAGTCAGAAAGTAAACTGGGATCTAAAGCATCTCTGAAACTTCTGTTTGACTACTTACACAGCTCTTATATAAAAGCAAAGTGCCTCAACATCTTGTTTGTCTGTACTATCTACATATAAATCTGAGTTGACTGAAATGTGGCATTTCTTGGAACCGTATACTGTACCAAAAGCTTAAGTTCCACCAAAATAAGACACACTGTTATATTCCTAAAAAATGTCAAGGCAGACCTGCTTGGTGCACACCCCAACCATGTTATAATTGAGCTATATGAAGGCAAAACAACACCATGTTGTGGTTGAACCCACTGCTGTTCCCAGTACGGCACAGTCGGCCCTTCCAGATCGTCGAGAGGAGGGATCCGTGGAGTCTGTGAGGGCCCAGAAGCTGCATTGGACTGGGAGGGACAGCTGCTGGTCAGCATCCTCGCCATACTTCTTCCCTGGGATGAACACAGACACTGTGCAGCTCTCTAGAACTGAGAAAAGAATAGCAAAAGTGGACTAGCTTTTTATGTGGAGCAGTATTTACACAATAACAATAACTTATTTAATTAACCACGTTGGTGCTCTACCTGACTGAATGGCATCCAACCTGTCCTTTTTGTAACAGCCTAGATCTCCCAACATGCAAATGCCACCAGTGGCTAGCAGGGCAGAGCCGGCATGGATGTTAGCAGTGCCTGCTCCGTGTTCGTCTCGCGACAGAGATGCAAACATCTCCCCTGAAGTCTGATGCCTGACCCCACGACACGCCAAGCTCAGGCTGTATGTCATTAATCTAGCACAAACACATAGCTAATAGGTAATGAGGAGGGTTAAATCTCAGGTTTCACATGTCCACCTAAGATGTGTAAAGTTGGGTCATGCAGACGACTTTACCTGTCTAGTACGAGAGTGTCAGAGGTGACAACCAGGAGATCTACATTGTGCAATCTGTCTTTTGCATCTGCTCTAGTCTGCACCAAGCTGAGCAACAAGCCCAGCTTCAAGGTGTTGTAGAGGCCGGGAGGAGCCACGTCCAACCCAAAGGAGTTAGCCAGAGTGGCAGAGAACCTCCAGGGAGAACCGGCTGTGACCTCCAACAGCTCCTGGAAGCTGGCACTGACTTTACAGGGATCTACAGGTAGACCAGTTCAGTATGGCAACAATGCACAATGTTGTTTATAAAATATGAAAATTGTTCACAGGAATCAGAATACACAGTAAGATCATTGACTGCCTTACTCTCTGGCTCCCACGGTTCGACACTATTTGCCTCTACACTCCAGGTAATGCCGGGCCACTGGTGCACATGCGCAGGAATGCCTATCACCCTGTAGAGTCGACCGATTCTCATTGAGTTACACAGCTCATCTGTGCGAACAGGGGAAACAAAGCAATAGCACTCAAAGGGGTTGTTCTGTACTGCCTGGTGATTATTGAAGAAACATGCATGCCACCTACAAACCACTGCCAAGAGAAACACAGGGTGAGGCCTGCAGAACAAAGATTTCTCTGTGTGCGAATTGCACAGCCAGCTAATGAGTGTTCCTTGTACTTATTAACATATATGTTTAGTAATGGGAACCCAGTGTATTGAATTCCTCTTCATGACTGGGTCAACAGAATATGTTAATCCTGGTGCTGAGATTTGCTAAGCTCTCAAGGGTGCTGGATGGACAATGTTATTAGAGGGGACAGAAACACTTAATATCCCACCATGAGGCACTGTGTGCGGCTGGCTGAACAAAAAATCTATTTATTTGAACTCTCCCCCACTAAGTTTTTGTTCCAAAGTGAGCCTCATTTAGCCAGAGAAAATTAATGACAAACCTCAATACATCTGACTGTGTGTAAATATAAGCTATTACAACCACATTATTCAGGACTGGGAGTGAATATAATGGATGAGAATATGATTTTACAAACAAATACTACCCTTAAGTATTAATCTATGGTTCATTGCTTCCTCAGATTTTGACTTGCAAATAAAAGCCTTTTATACCCAGTTACTCAAAGTATTCATTTGTTCTATGCTATGCGAACAAAAAAGGCAAAGTTATTCACAGGGCAGGGTCAGCTGCACAACAGTCTCTGGTCAGGTATGCTCAAGGACACTTCAGCAGAGCGGCTGCCTCCTGACATGGATGCTGGATGCTTGAAACAGCTCCCTGGTTGATGGACAGTCTTCAGCGGTCTCCATATATACCGTACCATATTATGAGAAAGGGTGCATATTCATACTCCACCAGAAGGAGATCAAGTGATTTTGTGCTGCTTAGTTTAGAAGTTGTAAAGGGAAGGAGTCATATCTTATGTTCTGCAGCTGTTCCAGATTAAAAAAAAGACTTGAAGATGCCAAAAAACACACATTCTGTTTCAAAGAGCAGATCAGAGGTGAACCTTATTAAGTTCTAGTTGCACTCGGTAATGTTTGTGTTATCATTTTGTATTCTTTGTTGTTTTAAGATTAGGTTACTCTGATGTGAACTATTGGTATGTGTTTTTACTTTACGCTGCTATTGTTGTTAACTATGATATGTGGTGAAATACATGCTGCTAGTGCACATGTTTCTTCACCTGCCACATTACCCCCGCCTCTCTCAGATGGAAAGAGGCTATTATTATTTGTTTCCTCTAACATTTTAAATTGGTACAGATTAAATTAATCAATCAACTTGCAAGTTGATTTAATTTGATTTAATAGGCAACACAGGCCCGTGTCTGAGCAATGTACAACCCATACACTGTAAACTTATCTGATGTAGACCTACCTCTGAGAAACAGGGTGACAGACTGGTACCTGAGTGGGCTTTTCTGATGGACACCTAGACCATCCAGTGCTTTGACATGGATCAGCTCCACAAGCTGTTTATCTGTCTCCACAAAGACACATTTGCGAACATACAGATCGTAACAATGCATACAGTTTTCTTTTGATCTCTTGCACCTAGAAAACCAATTCAGATATCTCCAGTGCTGTCTGACATTCAGCAGCATTACTCTCACCTCCCAGCACTCTAAACTTCACATCCTCTTTCAGCTGGGAGCTGCAGATCATGCAGCTGAAGTTGTTTCTCACGGTAGCTGACTCTGTGGCTCCAGGTGCATGGACGCGAATGCATTGAAACCCTAAAGTCAACATCCAAGAAATGTAATCAAAAGTTAATCAAATTTTTTGTCTAAGAATGCTATTTGTCTGATAATTGCTTGAAACACATACAATTGTGTGTATACAAACCCAACTGACTGTGATCAGTACTACTAGAAGCTAATACATAAAATGGGTTAAGGGGTACCAATGTGTCTAATCTGCAGTACCTGTAGAGCATGGACAGTCATCATTAATGCAGAGGAACCTGGCCCCCTGGGTGTATTTAGTGACCCTAGTCATGGCAATGACCAGGCCCTCAATGGAAACAGGCCTCATGGGGCCATACCCACGAGGAAATCTACGAAGGTCCAGTGTGTACTCAGGGAATGGAGGCAGGTGTGTCAACTTCAGAATTACGTTGACCTCAAAAGGAACAGTCAGATGACACATTGTTACAGGAGTGAGTTGGCAAATCGAGGTACCTTCTCCTGTCAGGTGCATGCATATACACTCACCTAAAGGATTATTAGGAACACCATATTAATACTGTGTTTGACCCCCTTTCGCCTTCAGAACTGCCTTAATTCTACGTGGCATTGATTCAACAAGGTGCTGAAAGCATTCTTTAGAAATGTTGGCCCATATTGATAGGATAGCATCTTGCAGTTGATGGAGATTTGTGGGATTCACATCCAGGGCACGAAGCTCCCGTTCCACCACATCCCAAAGATGCTCTATTGGGTTGAGATCTGGTGACTGTAGGGGCCATTTTAGTACAGTGAACTCATTGTCATGTTCAAGAAACCAATTTGAAATGATTCGAGCTTTGTGACATGGTGCATTATCCTGCTGGAAGTAGCCATCAGAGGATGGATACATGGTGGCCATAAAGGGATGGACATGGTCAGAAACAATGCTCAGGTAGGCCGTGGCATTTAAACGATACCCAATTGGCACTAAGGGGCCTAAAGTGTGCCAAGAAAACATCCCCCACACCATTACACCACCACCAGCAGCCTGCACAGTGGTAACAAGGCATGATGGATCCATGTTCTCATTCTGTTTTCGCCAAATTCTGACTCTACCATCTGAATGTCTAAACAGAAATCAAGACTCATCAGACCAGGCAACATTTTTCCAGTCTTCAACTGTCCAATTTTGGTGAGCTCTTGCAAATTGTAGCCTCTTTTTCCTATTTGTAGTGGAGATGAGTGGTACCCGGTGGGGTCTTCTGCTGTTGTAGCCCATCCGCCTCAAGGTTGTGCGTGTTGTGGCTTCACAAATGCTTTGCTGCATACCTCGGTTGTAACGAGTGGTTATTTCAGTCAAAGTTGCTCTTCTATCAGCTTGAATCAGTCGGCCCATTCTCCTCTGACCTCTAGCATCAACAAGGCATTTTCGCCCACAGGACTGCCATATACTGGATGTTTTTCCCTTTTCACACCATTCTTTGTAAACCCTAGAAATGGTTGTGCGTAAAAATCCATGTAACTGAGCAGATTGTGAAATACTCAGACCGGCCCGTCTGGCACCAGCAACCATGCCACGCTCAAAATTGCTTAAATCACCTTTCTTTCCCATTCTGACATTCAGTTTGGAGTTCAGGAGATTGTCTTGACCAGGACCACACCCCTAAATGCATTGAAGCAACTGCCATGTGATTGGTTGATTAAATAATTGCATTAATGAGAAATTGAACAGGTGTTCCTAATAATCCTTTAGGTGAGTGTAGGATTTATGGAAATGGGCTTGATCCTTCTGGCTCTTAAGCTATACATAATGTCAGCAACCAAGGGAAGGAAACACCTACACCATGTTTTAATACCTGACTTTCAGTGTGTATTTTCTCAAGAAGTGACAGTGTCTTTATGGCCAGGAAGCAAACCTGAATGGGGAATTAGACACATGTAGTCAACCTTACAGTAGAAGTTTACATTATATTTTAGCTAGCTCACTATTCGCACTTACAGACTTAAACAACGCTGTTGCTCTTAGGGGATCACGTAGAAGACAGTCACCCAACACAGGATCCACCTCTATCACATCAGAGGGATTCACACTGATGCAAAACCTGTAGACTGCCTCAATCTGCTGGGGGTCTGGAAAGCAGCGGCAAACGTTAGAAAAGCTGAAACCCTAACTTACTTTTAACGTTAGTTTACTCATTTTAGCTTTCATGGCTACTAGGTTAAGTACGTTAAGGTTAACACAATCGACATTAGCTAACGTCAAGTTAGTTTTTCTTCTTCCTCACTGCAGGCCCAACGTTACCGTTAAATGGTTTACAGTCTTCGGACAGTTTCTGAAGGCCACCACTTCTGTCTAAATAGACCAGAACTGACTCTTTCAACGATAAAATGTCAGTCATTTTTACTTAACTATACGATAATAATAAATTACTATAAGCTAACGTTACACCGTTCAAATGGGGTTTACAGGTTGCATTGGCATGCTAGCTTCAACTACGTTGCCATGGTGACAAGCGAGCTGTCGTTTGTAAAGGAAAGCCAACTGATGGAGTCCATTACAATTAACTCAAACACCATATCCTCTAACTCCAGTGCTTATAAGCAATTAAGCATGTCCATACTTAACTCAACACATTTAGGCTGATGAAAAACTACACCCCTGATCAAGCCACCTCTGTAACAAAATATTTTTGGGTAGACATGACTACACATATAGTTTTTACTAGATGTTTTGGTATGTATATTTTAAGAACCACTGCATCAGTTTCTGAGGGGAAACCCTACTTACAATAATTGCAAGAAAGAAAACAATTGCCAACTCAGCTTACCAAAAGAAATAGGCAAATATTGATTGAATTGGACTTTAAATATAAATTAAAGTAAAATTATATTGATGAATTAATTAATATTGTATGGTTACTGATTTATAATTGGTATGTACTTTGTTAACACAATGAGGTGTTGCCAAAGAAAACAGTCTCTGGGATGACACACATTACCTGGGGAGAACATTCCAAGATACCTGATTAGGTTTGGTATCCCGATAGGCTATGATATATGGAACTATATTTATTCATCACTAACCATGATTATTGACTTGGCTTTCCATCTATGTGTGGTTTAAAATTGTGAATTTGGTTGCTGAACTTTTTAAACAAAATTCCTGAGCATTGAAGACCTTGACCCACGAGGTGGGTAATGTCACAGAAGGCCTACTCATAAAATGCACAACCTCAACAATACTGAATCACACTCAAAACTAAATTGAAAAGTTGGCATACCTGACCTTATTTTGGCTTACTTACCTACAGTGCAAGACTGATCAGGATGTGATGCGATTAAATGTAATTATTTAATCAAAATATTACAAATGATAGGCCTACATAAAAAATACACTTAGTATAAAATACACAGACACCCTCCAAGAAACTTTCTTTGATATTTTTTTATTACTTTGCAGGAGTATAGGCCTACTAAATTGCCAGGCGTAGCAAAGCATTGTGGATTTATAATTTCTGCAACTGTGTTAGGGCAAAGAACAGAAAAAAATAAACACAACAATCCAATAAAAAAAATTCGCAACAACTGAATGGTAACTGAAGACGTAGACATTTTTTTAAACAAATGTGACCTATACCAAACTGTTATTCAGTGGTCTCTCAAGTAATCCCTATTTCCAGCTTAGTTAAAATGAATGATACATACGTTTGTTTTTACAGTAAATACATGGACAAACACACTTCCATCTGACAGTCAAATGGTGAAGTCCAGTGAATTGTTCAAGTTTTTCAGAAAACTGCTTATTGATTTCATTTAAGGGACAAATTTAAGGCTTTAGAAACAACCAGAAATTACATCAATAGAGGATGGCTGTCCTTAATTCTTTGAAATATCATCTGTTATATATATATATATATATATATATATAACAGATGATATTTAAATACAAATGAGTAAAATATAAAGATTTTTCTGGCACACTTTCTTCCAACCAAAACCTTTTGTAAGTGCTGTTTCTGCTCAGCTGCTTGCTTTGGCTTCATAGAACAAGTTCATCCATGGTATAAATTCTTCCCTTTAGTCAAAAGAAGTTATGATGGTTAAGGCGATAACTGGGAATGTTTCATTGGAAAGAGTCATCAGAAGGTGGGGCGTAAGAGAAGCCCACAAAGGCATCGTCGGCCTCCATTACACTGGCGTTGACTATGGAATGTTCTTGAGACCAACACACGGAGTTGGGGACCATCTCGTCTGTGAACTCAGGATCAAAGTTTGAGATGTCGCAGTAAGAGCTCTGTGAAAACAGTGGGAGAAGAGGGAATAAAAACATGGGTCATATTAGCATTCGTGGAACAAACACAAAACAAAAGGCATGTTTGTTTACAAAAAAATAATTTGATGACAAAATACAATAAGGTTACAATGCTTATCTTGATTTTACAAAGGGCTCAGAGTCAAATATATGTAAAATAAAGTTAAAATTAGTTAACCAAATATCAACAAACATGAGACTAAAAAAGAAAAAAAACAGGAAATTAAGTCTATATTTTATGAAGTAGTTCAAAATATGGTACTTAATTAAGTAACAGTCAGTATTAACTAAAAAAACCTGTGCAATCTAGTGCAATCATATACAATATTGCTGCAACAAATTCTACCTTTTAGTTTTTGTTGACAGATTATCAGTGAGGTGTTCAATCATGTCTGGGGTTATCTTTGAAGTTATGGGTGTATTTTATTGAATTGCATTCAACTGCACAGGTTTACACAATAAGCCTTTCACACTTATTTCACTTTCTTTTGTGTCTGTGCAGCAGACAAATTGGCCCTATCCAAGAATCTCAACTCATAGCAGATGGGAAGATTTGCAACAGCTAGGAGCTAGACCTAGCTATACCGTAAAATGATCAGTAAAACCTTAAGGTCCCTGCCACCACCACTCAGGAGTTTTCAAGTACTCAAGTCTAATTACAGTGAGGAAAATAAGTATTTGAACACCCTGCTATTTTGCAAGTTCTCCCACTTAGAAATCATGGAGGGGTCTGAAATTGTCATTGTAGGTGCATGTCCACTGTGAGAGACATAATCTAAAAAAAATAATCCAGAAATCACAATGTATGATTTTTTAACTATTTATTTGTATGATACAGCTGCAAATAAGTATTTGAACACTTGTCTATCAGCTGGAATTCTGACTCTCAAAGACCTGTTAGTCTGCCTTCAAAATGTCCACCTCCACTCCATTAATTATCCTAAATTAGATGCACCTGTTTGAGGTCGTTAGCTGCATAAAGACACCTGTCCACCCCATACAATCAGTAAGAATCCAATTACTAACATGGCCAAGACCAAAGACACTAGAGACAACATGTTACACCTCCACAAGGCTGGAAAGGGCTACGGGGAAATTGCCGAGCAGCTTGGTGAAAAAAGGTCCACTGTTGGAGCAATCATTAGAAAATGGAAGAAGCTAAACATGATTGTCAATCTCCCTCGGACTGGGGCTCCATGCAAGATCTCACCTCGTGGGGTCTCAATGATCCTAAGAAAGGTGAGAAATCAGCCCAGAACTACACAGGAGGAGCTGGTCAATGACCTGAAAAGAGCTAGGACCACCGTTTCCAAGGTTACTGTTGGTAATACACTAAGACGTCATGGTTTGAAATCACGCATGGCACGGAAGGTTCCCCTGCTTAAACCAGCACATGTCAAGGCCCGTCTTCAGTTTGCCAATGACCATTTGGATGATCCAGAGAAAGTCATGTGGTCAGATGAGACCAAAATAGAACTTTTTGGTCATAATTCCACTAACCGTGTTTGGAGGAAGAAGAATGATGAGCACCATCCCAAGAACACCATCCCTACTGTGAAGCATGGGGGTGGTAGCATCATGCCATGTGTTTTTCTGCACATGGGACAGGGCGACTGCACTGTATTAAGGAGAGGATGACCGGGGCCATGTATTGCGAGATTTTGGGGAACAACCTCCTTCCCTCAGTTAGAGCATTGAAGATGGGTCGAGACTGGGTCTTCCAACATGACAATGACCCGAAGCACACAGCCAGGATAACCAAGGAGTGGCTCTGTAAGAAGCATATCAAGGTTCTGGCGTGGCCTAGCCAGTCTCTAGACCTAAACCCAATAGAGAATCTTTGGAGGGAGCTCAAACTCTGTGTTTCTCAGCGACAGCCCAGAAACCTGACTGATCTAGAGAAGATCTGTGTGGAGGAGTGAGCCAAAATCCCTCCTGCAGTGTATGCAAACCTGGTGAAAAACTACAGGAAATGTTTGACCTCTGTAATTGCAAACAAAGGCTACTGTACCAAATATTAACATTGATTTTCTCAGGTGTTCAAATATTTATTTGCAGCTGTATCATACAAATAAATAGTTTTTAAAAAATCATACATTGTGAATTCTGGATTTTTTTTTTTTTTAGATTATGTCTCTCACAGTGGACATGCACCTACGATGACAATTTCAGACCCCTCCATGATTTCTAAGTGGGAGAACTTGCAAAATAGCAGGGTGTTCAAATACTTATTTTCCTCACTGTATATCTCTCATGTTTATGTAGGGCGGGGCTTTGTTGCAGAGATGTCAATCAAGCGCCATCTAAACACTAAAGAGGAGAGCTCTATGAAAACACCTGTCAGGGTGAAACATGACTGTAAAGGGGCTTTCCAATAATCTGTCTACTTTACAAATCAACTAAAATAAACTATAAAATTGTCTGTAACAACATGAAAAAAATAAAATGACTGTAAATGACACTGCATACAATATATAACTTTCTCTAAATCCGTAGTCTTTAAAAGCAATATGAGTTATGATGTATCTTTCAAGTGCGGGGTACAAATGTCCGAGTCGGGTCACTGTAAAACATCTGATTACTGGGCAAGAAACAAACGTTTACCACATTGGGCGTAAATGGGGGAGGGATCTTCTTCTGTTCAAGGTCATCCCAGTTGATGGAAGAGAAGAAGCTGTGCTCTTTGATCTCATTCTGAAAATGTAGAATATAAGTTGAAAAAAGTCAATTAAGCAAAAGTCATCAGTGACTGTACATCTAACATATTAGCAGCAGTGACATGATGTATATAGATTAGCCACAAGAGGGAGCCCAAAAATTGGAAATTCTGCTGTACATGTAGAGTTTGTATCTGGACAGCGCAAGAGCATTGAATATTCCCACTCACAAAGTCATCTCTGGAGCCCAGTCTATGTGTGCCGTCTTTCTCCAGCAGGCCCTGGAGGAGAGACCAGGCTGTGCTGGATGCACCGGGACGCATCGCCAACGGCTTGTGGAGGATGTTGTCATACATTTCATGTGTGTCCCTGCTGTAGAATGGCGGCTAGGATATAAAAAAAACAACAACTTTAACTTGAACATTAAAATGAATACATCAAGTTCAAACTAAAAAGCTTTGTCTGCAAATGTAGTCTAAACTTCCAACCAAAGAACAAATAATAATAATAATAATAATAATCACTGTCAATGTAAAAACTCACCAGGCCGAAGAGCATTTCATACAGCACTGAACCCAGACACCACCAATCTACTGTATTATCGTATGGCTGCTTCCTCAGGACCTCTGGAGCTAAATACTGGTCGGAAGTAGCACACAAATACATAATAATATAACATTAACTTTGACATTTTGTTTCCGGCTTAAAATAAACCAACCAAATGTATATCAACTACTATTTTTGCTCATAAAAGCCTATTTTCCTCTCTGGAAAATGTGACTCATCCCTACACATACAGCAGTATACACCCAAGACAGAATACACTCACACTTGTAAAATTATTAAGCACGCTTTAATCCAAAAAGTCTGTTAATGATTATTACTTTTTGACACTGAAGGTGAGACTTCTTTGGATCACCCTGATGCAAGTCTGATCAGATACGTAAACATCTAAAATCAGTGCTGCCATACCTCAGGAGTTCCACAAAATGTAGTGGTGGTGTCTGTCTGGGAAATGCCTTCCTTGCACAATCCAAAGTCCGTCAAAATGATATGCCCCTTTAAAGAGAGGACACAGGGATGTTTTTAGACAACATGTGCCACACAAGCCACTCGTTATCCCCCGGGACTGACGATTCTATTGTTGCCCAGGAATGTTGGCTGCGGCGTAGCTCAGTCAGTCCCATTCACTGTTCCCTCACTTTCTCAATAAGGCTAGGCAGGAAAATCATGAGTAAGACTTAATCCAATCACACACATTCTGTCCAGCTGGTGCTGGAGATGACACTGTTGTTCTCTGGTGGTACAAATATGACTGGAAAAGAAGGACATTTGTTCTGTATATGTTATGTAATAAATCTGCAGCCAGCATTTAGGCACTGTAGTTCCCTGGCACTCAAATGAGTATTGTATCTAAAAAAATTAGTTTTGGTACCACCCAGATATATTTAGTGTACTAACTGTAACATTGATTAACAGTTACACAGCAGTGTTTTTGGTTAAAAGACAGGGATACTTACTTCATGGTCAAGGAGGATGTTTTCTGGCTTCAAGTCTCTGAATAAAATTAACGAAAATGAATGAATTTCAGTAAATAAGACACAGCGATTTGCAAACACTGAGATCATAAGTCCAAATTCTTCCATCGCAACCTCACATCCCTGAGAAATGTCTGACCAGCCACCAGAAAAAGTAAAATGTTCTTAATTATATTTTGTATTACATATATATTAATTTAACTATTAATATTTTTCTGTAAATTATATCTCTCTATATTTTGATCTAAATGCTTCTTCAAAGCAGGGGCAGGTAGTAACTTGTTACTAGTAACACATTAGTAAAAAAAGCTTTTACTCTTTACTCAAATACTTTGGGCCAGTAATCTACCATTTATACCTTCGTTAGAACTAGTCTGTTATCTACTATCTACTGTTTTGGTACATAAACCGAAATTAGATGTCATGTAAGGTGTGTGCGTGCGGTTACACAAGAGAGCTTTCATCGTTGCGCTTGGATAACAGATCCGGGCAACGAGAGAAAGGCTAGACATCAAACAAGTATGAAACTTTAAAGAGATCTTATCAATGTATATAATTCATATAGATAAAAAAAGTTAAATAATTGCAGTTAACAGAAATTACAGATTTTCAAAGTGCATTCCCTAGAAATAAGCAATGTTGCACAGAAACTATTTCTAACCTGATGCACAGTAGATGAAAACCCTGCACACATGCACACACTAAATAACATTATAACTTTGAGTAATGTATTGACCAAGTACTTTTACACTTGTACTTGAGTAGGTTTGTCAAATCGATTTCAGTACCCACCACTGCTTCAAAGATATGTCTACAATGCCAGGAATATTAATCTGGTAAAAAAGGATCAGTATCACTTAAATAAACCCCCAACATACCTGTAAACAATGTTGAGAGAGTGCAGATATCCCAGTGCACTTGCCATTTCAGAAATGTAGAATTTTGCTCTGGGCTCTGGAAAGGTCCTCTCTTTTTGAAGATGGAAGAAAAGCTGAAATTAAAATGTTCCATTCGATTATTGGACTGTATTACATGGCAACTGTATTGCAGGAGCATACCATGCCTGCAAAATCTAATAATAAACCATGATATGACAAAAGTTGCAAAATGCTTTTAAGAGCAAAAAATACTCTAATGTATGCATCACTTTTGCCAGTCCTTTATCTAGTTATGTATAAAAATTAAATAATATTATTTAATTTACAAGCTACTGGTCTTAGTAGTCAAGTTATTCAGCAGGGCAAGAGGCAGATTTGGCTTTGGATACAGATTGTTGTTAGTCACTCTCCCACAGTCACACATAGCAGCTTTATAAAGGCTGATCCACAGAGAAAGTCACACTCAAGAGCTGCTTTGAGTGAATGTCGTGATCTGTAATTAGATTTCACACGTGGAGGTGTGTTCACTCGCTACAGTGCTGCTCTGAGGAATTCTATTAAAGCCGCCTAAAACATATTTCCCGTGTTTCTGCCATTCTCAGCTTTTCTTGACTTTGTGACTCACTTCTGTGTGAGTGCATTATTCACCAAACTGAAACGACTCACTTCTCCTCCATTGATGAAATCCAAGACGAAGTATAACTTGTCGGTTGTCTGGAAGGAATAATGAAGCCCAACCAGGAAAGGGTGTTTCACATTCTTCAGCAGCACATTGCGCTCTGCCATTATGTGTTTTTGCTGAGTGGAAGTAGAGTCATTTACTAGCAAAATTATAATTCACATATGCATATCTGAAATGTGGACAGGGTCATATTTGAAAGGAAAGTTACCTCTTTTCTATTGAGAATGACCTTTTTCTGTAAGACCTTGACTGCATAATACTTTCCGTCATGTTTTCTTTTTGCAAGAAAAACCTGCATCACATGGAAGAGAAAGCATGCTGGACATTGCATCAACAGAGTAAACCAGAGCAATACCAGATTGGTTTCTCACTTCCTACATAGAAAGGCCAACACATGCAGAACTAAAACTTGTTGCTACCCCGATACAAAAACAACAGAGAAACACTTTCCAATATATCTCAGGTAACTCAAGTATGACACAAATACATCAGTCAACATGAATATACAAAGTTGATCTGTAAAACAGGTTTCTACCTAATAAAACTATTACACTAAAGACTGTTTATCTAAGCAGATCCATAAATTGGAAACCTGCTCACTCTGGGAAGAACAGAAATTAACTGTACTCTACAGTATTGCATTGTTCACGTACCTTCCCAAAACTCCCTTTTCCTATGACCTTTAAAAAGTCAAAGTCTGTGGGCTTGGCACTAAAATAAAAATTACAGCACATTAATTTCACAACACAACTGGTAAGTTTAAAATGGTTAAAACAGTAAGGCAGCCTGCTTTGTGCTTAAACAGTTTCTTAAAGTGCATTTGAGTAGTGAACCTACTGTGGATTTCCAGAGGGTCCCAGGTTAATGTTTCTGGAGGTAGGGTTGTTCTGCTAAACAGCAGAGAAAACATTATCTAGATTAGCGGTCAAGATGTAACTACAGGCTAACACTGAGACACACTAGATACAGATTAACTGCTGATCTTTATCTGTCCTACAATAACAACATATAAGGGAAATGTGTTTACTATCTGTATTCATTTTGAGTCTAGATAGATTCTATTAGTTGTTACCAAGTACAAACTACACCTTGGGATACAGAGCCAAATGACCTGGCACAGCTGGACCATAACAAAAACAGAGGTGGAGTCTGCAGGAAAACAAAAATATAGAATATATATATACACATTGTATAATGATAAGTCACTTACTTTGTCATCTTCGTCCTCTGAGGCATCTGAAAAGTTTTGGATTTTGTTCATCTGCAGAAAGTTCCTCACATCTGCACTGCAAAGTTCAGGAGTGACCAAGCAGGTAAATAATACAAATAAAGTAACATCAGCAAGTAAAACATCACAAAGCAGAACGTTCTCCATCTTTTTCAATCTAATTCAAGCCAAGCGTGAAGCATAGCTAAACAAATCTGATCTCATTACATTTTTGGATTCAGATTATTGACAGCAGTCATCCTGATTAAGTCAGCAATGTAATGCAATATAATGACAGTGAGAACACCAACACTTACTGGTTGCAAAGCTGAGGATTTGACACTATTTGCTTGATGAACTCGTGTAACCCTGCTCTTCTTTGCTTGATGAACTCTATCGGACAGATGCATATATCGTTTAAAAACCACAATCAAACAACTTGGATCAAGCAGAAAACTGCATTTAGTCTTTGAGCATCAAGTACTTGGATTCTGTCTTGACCCACACGACATACACCAGCCTAGTGTGAACACTTACCGGGGTCAAAATTGTCCCCAAATATCCTCTTGGCTGGAATTTTCAAGTTTACAGATGGAAACTGTTTCCGTAACTGCATTAAATGACAAGACAGGACCACAGCAAATTATGTTAAGGTCTAGGAAATGTCTATGGTCACAAGTTTATAATTATTCTAAATGTCAATGTCAACAGCACGTCACAAAAGCGAGTAAATCAAAGACTAAGGGAATCAAAGACTCGTGAACAGACTTATGGTAATGTGTCAGCTGTCCCTATGGTGTAAAATCAAAATGACAACGTGCCATCACTCACTGTGTTGTAGAGTTTATCAAACTCTGCATAACGCCGGAAGACAAACCATTCCTGTTGTCCAACATTGACTATCACTTTGTAAACCTGGAAAAAGGCATAGAGTCCATGTAAACACAAATAGCAGTATGAAATCCTAATATAATTTGTTGTTAACTTTACAGCAATAACATTTAGAGACTCCTGAAATTTGAAAATCTGAAAGAAAAAAGAAAAAACAGAATCTTTGCACGCACTGTAAAACGCTTTTTCTTGTCTCTCTGCTCATTGTGGCAGGGTATGCTGACATTGGGGAGACTGGGTTGCTCCTCCATTTTGGGGGCTGTTGGCATTCAAGGGTGCAAGGTCATAAAGTAATGTGTCCTCCTCAGGATAAGACTTCAAGTATACAACTGGCCCATCCCCATCCTGGGTCACTGCAGCAGACGGGAAAAGAGAACAGACCACTGTGAAATTCAGGAAGTGAAACTGGTGCACTGCTCTCAACACATTTGAGTCTGCAGTAGTCATGTTGCCTGCATCTGATATGATAAACATTCACCCCCGACTATAACTTTGTAAGCTGTGTTTTATTCATTAATTTGATTCTTCAGTGCTGTTTTTTAAGGTGTTTCTTTGATGTTTGAGATGTGGTGTTTCTTTGATGTTTGAGATGTAACACAGCCCTGTTGATTATCCTGGGCAAGAGCTGCTGACAAGCCTTGAACTACTACATCAGCTCATCCATCAATCTGTCCCCCCATTTTATCATAGATATCTATAGTTATGCAGTGGTCCCATGAGCTGCTTTATTTAAGCTGTGCCACTAGTTGCTTGCCTGCAGGTATCATGCATGGCTTTAGGAAATGGCCCCAATGTCCCTATTTCAGGTTACGTTCTTGTAAAAAGAAATTAAATAACAACAAATTTTTAAACAGCTGTTTGCTGGGGCTCTCGACTGAGACCAGTTGAACATTAATATCATTTAGCAAGTCGCACAGCTCATGTTGTTGTAACTGTCAACAAGTTATTGTGTCACACGTTGGTCTAAACACTCTGCAACAATGTAAATGGACAAATGTAAAGCCAATGGCCAGTTAGCAAATACGTCAACTATTGGTGAGTTGCAATAAAAATATGTGTTTGCATTTAAAGCATTGCTTGTTGAAAACCTCATCTAGAGGTCCCTGTGCTTCCCTGAAGGGTGAAGACTGTAGCGAGCGTGCTCAGGCAACAACACGAGGGGTCAGCGAGCTGCAACATGACAGCAGACGGGCTCCATCCCCCTGAGAAGCCATTTAACTCACTCCTTCCTATGAGCACCAACATCCCATCTTCCCTCATATCTTATTATTGATAATGGAAAACACACTTTAATAGATACATTTCACCATGTTTTCTTTGGCTGTTAATGGGAATGTCAAACTCCCTCAAGTGAGAATTACAATCTTTATCTGTGCAGCCTCCTCCTTGCATTCATTCATCTCACACATACCTAACATGTGAACGCATACAAGCCCACACACACACAGTCACACACACTAGCACACTCTGTTAGGCATGCTGGGTCTGTGACATTTTCCCTTGTTCCGGTCAGTACAAAGGTATTTATAAATAACCTTCTTGGGGTCTTTGAAGCAAGAGTTACAAAATGGGTTAAGGGTAAGAGCCCCGGAGTTGTTCTTCCCCAACATGTAAAGAGGGAAATAAAGCTGACTGCCGAGGTGTAACTGACTCCTTCCCTTGAAAACTGTAGTAACAAAAGGTCAAGACCTCAGGTCCCTGAAGGTGTTGAAGGGGGGTAAAGTTCATTATATTGCAAAGTCTTATAAGTGAATTATAATCAGTTGTAATAGATGTTATCTCCTGTATTTAACTGACCTGAGGGCATTAATTAAAACTATTCTGTGTAGGGTAAATACTAAACACTGTGTGGTCTGACTTAATCACACACACAGAGAGGGATATTTCTTTTCCTTCACCATGAGTTATGCAACGTCTGTTTCTTTACAACAAAGCTCTTTGTCTGTCGCCCTGACTTGCCCATTGTTTTATGTTGATGAGGTCAGCCTTGATCAGTAGTTCTTGTCAACAGTTGTTGTTAACTCTCCCTGTTGTTGGCGCACAGCACATGGAAAACCTACTTTGGGTCAACGTTCTCTGTCTGCGAATTGATCTTGAATGCATCCTGGAGGGATATCTCATTCTGCTCACGTTGGGGTGAGGGGACAGCAAAAGAGCTGGCCCTCTTTAAAATGCATGTGTGGAATCAGAGGGACCTTCATGCCCTCTTCATCACTAGCCTCTTTTTTCTCTTTTGTTTCTACTTTTAACTTTCTTTTAGTTTCATTTTCACATTCACTAAGACAAACCACCAAGAGACCAATAAAGCATGGACATTACTGTATCACAACTGTATTTACTTTTATGCTGCAACTGTTAAGACTTGTTTAAAACTAATGTAACTAATGATCATTTTCATTGGAGTTGTTTGACAAAAACTTTCTCAATTAATTGATAAATTGTTTAGTCTATACTAAAATAAGCCCTTCACAATTTCTCAGAGCCCAAGCTAGCATCTTAAAATGTCTTGCTTTGTCCAAACTAAAGACACAGAGATACACAGAAAAGCCTCACATTTGAGAAGCTGAAAGCTTAAATCGATGATCAAACTGGTTGCTGATGAATTTTCTGTCGATCAAGTAATAGTTTCAGCTCTTGTTAAAACCGATCTTAAAAACACATTATTGTTGGAAATCAATAACAGCTACATGCAGATGACAAATTTTGGCTGTAACTACCAGATTCTTCTCCTCTACCAGCCACTCTAGTGGGAAACACCAGATGTTTTTGTGTTTTCAAAACCTGGCTATTAAATACTGTGCAACTGTGGTTGGTACACACAAAATGGTTGGCTCTTTCTCTGAGCTGCCTCACATCTGCTCCTGTTTTCATGGGCAACTGACTCTGTACGTCACTGAGCAGGACTCGCTTTTTAACATTCCAGAAATAGTTTAGTTCAAGGGAAACATAACCTATAACCCTCCAGTACAACTTACATTTCAGCTGACACTGCTACTCCTTGATGTGGAATGCTGCAGCTCACCATGCCTACTAACAGACGTTTTCAAGTTTGTTATAAGGATTGAAAACAAAGTGTGGAAAGGCATAATGAGTAAAGGTTCCCTAGCTGCAGTTTAAGCCCAGCATGCCAGGGACTCACGCCACAACATGAATTAACTTGTGCTGACAGGCACAAATACACTGGGCTACTACACAGATCAAAAATAGCATTCTTCCTGCTTAGCTCAAACACACATTCTTGCCTGTGGATATCCTATGAGGATGTGGGACATATTGTTTTGTGTGTGTGTGCGGCTGTGTATCATGCGCGACAAGCGATTTTAGCAAGAAAACAAGGCAGAAGTCACCCCACACTCTTAAATCAGATGTGAAAGCTCAATCAGGCATGCATCCACTGATAAACAGAGAGACGCAGACCGATGCAAGCTGAAATGTTTAGTGGAGATAACCACTCTACAGTAACAATAATACAAATATATTATTAACATTAAATGCTCACTTAGATTCGCTTGGAATGTTTAAACTTTGACAATACACCTATATAGTTTCGGGAAATATGTCAAGTGTGGGATACAATTGAATAACAAACATTATTCAAATTCCCAAGTATCTCATTATAATGCAACAGACAGATCTCGGATTGAGGAAGTGCAGCTGGAGAAGCGTGAGGGCCGTGAACTCAGGCAACCCCCAGGAAGTGCAACCGTCCTCAGCATCTGGATAAATTCCTAACCTAACCTGATTGTCCAGACAGCACACAAAACTAACGGGAAATGAGCAGATCACCACATAAAAGAGTTTTTTGTCAGAGAAGGAAGAGAAAGAAAAGGATGATCAAGAAATGCATCCTTCTTGTAACTGCAAATGTGACAACTGTCAGAACACCACAGGAGGAAAAGCATTCATATATACAGTCCCCTCCAAAAGTATTGGAACGGTAAGGCAAATTCCTTTGTTTTTGTTGTTCACTGAAGACATTTGGGTTTAAGATCAAAAGAGGAGTATGAGACAAGAGTTCAGAATTTCAGCTCTCATTTCCTGGTATTCACATCTAGATGCGTTAAATAACTCAGGACATACCACCCTTGGTTTGAACCCACCCATTTTTCAAGTGAGCAAAACTATTGGAACATGTGACAGACAGATGTTTCTTGTTGCCCAGGTGTTGCCTTTTAGGTTGATTGTCCAAACATTAAATAGCTCTGCATGACTAGTCAAAGTTTTCATCCTTGGTTCAAACCTATAAAGACTGCATTTCCTGTTAGGGAGGATAAACCAACATGAAGATCAGAGAGCTGTCTATGGGAGAAAAGCAAGCCACTGTCAAGCTGAGAAAAGAAGGAAAAATCGACCAGAGCCATTGGACAAACATTGAGCATAGCAAGCACAACAATTTGGAATGTCCTGAAAAAGAAAGAAACTACTGATGTACTGAGCAACAGACGTCGAACAGGTCAGCCAAGGAAAACAACAGTAGCTGATGACAGAAATATCGTGAGAGCTGGGAAGAAACCACCCAAAACATCAGTAAGTGACATCACCAGCGACCTCCACAGTGCAGGGGTGAAAGTATCACAATCCACTGTTCGAAGAAAACTCAGAGAGCAGAAATATAGAGGCCACACCACAAGATGCAAACCACTCATCAGCAGGAAGAATCGGAAGGCCAGATTGAAATTTGCAAAGTAGTACAGAGATGAGCCGCAAAAGTTCTGCAACACAATTTTTTGGACTGATGAGACCAAGATTAATCTCTACCAAAGTGATGGAAAGGCCAAAGTGTGGAGAAAGAAAGGAACTGCTTATGATCCGAAGCATAGAAGCTCATCTGTGAAGCATGGCTTGTCATGGCTTGGGCGTGCATGGCTGCTTCTGGAACAGGCTCATTAATATTTATTGATTATGTAACTGCTGATGGTAGCAGCAGAATGAATTCAGAGGTGGACAGAAACATTTTGTCAGTCAATTTAAGGAGAAATGCATTGAAACTAATCGGGAGGAAGTTTATCATGCAGCAGAAAATGACCCAAAGCACGCAACAAAACAAAAGGACTTCATCAGGGGGGAAAAGTGGAAGGTTTTAGACTGGCCAAGTCATTCACCTGACCTTAAACCAACATGCATTTCACCTCCCTAAGAGGAGACTGAAGGGAGAAACACCCAGAAACAAACAAGAACTGAAAGAAGCTGCGGTAAAAGCCTGGAATAGCATCACAAATAAAGAATGCAACAGTTTGGTGATGTTGATGGATCGCAGGCTTGAGGCAGTTATTGCAAGTGTTATGCCACCAAATATTAAATGTTACTTACTTTAATATTATTTGTTTCATTACTTTTGCTCACATAAGAATGCTGTGGTCTAATACAAACAGCGATATGTCCTAAGTTGAAATAAAAGCTGAAATTCTGAACTCTTGTCTCATACTCATCTTTTGATCTTAAACCCAAATGTCTTCAGTGAACAACAAAAACAAAGGAATTTGCTTTACTGTTCCAATACTTTTGGAGGGGAGTGTACAACAACATCCAACTTAGAAATGGTTCCGTGCCGCTGTCCACACCACAGAGCTGAATCACCACCCAGTGTGGGGATTCATTTAGCCAGCCTATGGGGTCTGACAGTCGGAAAACAATTATATGTGGGTGGACATGTCCCCAGCACACACAGCACTGAAAACTACTTCGGTTTCATTTTTGCATGAGCCGTTTGGTAAGCTCACACTGGTTTCACCTGAGGCTAGGTGTGTACTTACACCGGTACAACTTTTAAATCTCGGTACACATCATGTGTATTACAGGAAAAACCATAGCTTTTCCAGCCAAAGAGAGGTGGGAGAGAGGGAAAAAATGAGCCAGAGGAAGGAGGAGCTGAACGAACACACACACATACAAAAATAAAATACCAACACGCACTTTCACACCCGAAAAATGAAAGGTCTGACATGCTCGAACACGCTCTCGTGTGTAACGTTAGTACAAGCTGTAAAATACACAGCAAAAGCTCACAATTACACATGATTTAAGATTCTCGTGTATGCTACACAGCAAGTAAACTTAGCTATCTTAACTTTGTTTACGTTATTTTGCTCCGGTTGAACGTCTCTTTAGTGTTGTGTTCGAAAAGAAAAAGTTAATGTTGTGTTATATAGCTAACAGGTGTCCCTCTACTATTACCTACAAACAACATTTTGTTAATGACATTGCTAACGTTACTAGAGTTTCATGTGCTGGGTAGATATCACCCTAAAGCTAGCCTAACGTTACGTTAGCAAAACGAGAACAAGGTAACGTTAACGTTTATGAACACCACGTACCTTACAGTATTTGATGCGGTGTTCATCTATTTCCGTAGTTCCAGTGGGGATATTTCGCTCTACAGCCTTTAAACTGTCAATACATTGAATATTTCCCCCGTTTTGGTTCGAACACAACCCCCAAACTGTAAGTGTATTTTCTTGCTGCCCGGCGTCTGTCAAGTGACTGAAGCAGGAAACATCAACCTTTCCTGGCCGAAGAAAGTTCCAATGAAATTCGTCACGGGACCTCGGAGCTGCAACCACCACCAGGAATACATCAGGGTACTTCCGGTACTGCATTTCAAAATATAACCAGAAAATAAAGAAAACACTGCAGGTAGCAAAGTGGTGGGATGTTTGTACATTTACTCAAGTACTGTTTTGCGGTACTTTACTTGAGTATTTCTATGCCACGCTACTTACATACATCTACATTTATACTAGAACAGCTGTAGTTCCCAGTTACTTTAAAGGTGAAGGTTTTAATACAGGCTACAAAACGATCAGCTTGAATGATGATGCATTCATATTTATCCATCAGTAAGCTATTATTAATAGTGGTGGACAAAGTACACAAATCCTGTACTTGAGTAAAAGTACAGATACCCTTGCTAAATATATTACTCCACTAAAAGCAGAAGTCTTCAATTTAAATTTCTATTTGGTCCAAAGGACAAAAGTACGTGCTTTAAAAAATCAAAAGTAAAAGGTATTATTAACAATCTTATGTATGTCAAGGGTTGCTGACATGACAAACAGAATTAAAAAATACAGTAGGCAAACTTTCCTATTTATTAAAAAATGGCATTCATTATAAAGAGTTTCCCCTTTCAATAATAATTCAATAATAATTGTGTGTGTGTGTGTGTGTTCGTGTGTGTGTGCGCGTGTATGTGACAAATAATTTCATATATAATATTATATCATTTGGAGCATTGGTTCTTTAGGTACATTTAGCTGTTCATACTTCTGCACTGTTTACTTAAGTAATGCAGGACTTCTAAGTATTTTTTTATATTATGGTATCACAACTTTTACTTAAGTTTAAAAATACATACTCCACTAATGATGGCTGGATCAACCCACTTAGGGTCACTGCATCAATGTATCAGAATCAGAATCAGAATCAGCTTTATTGCCAGGTATGTGTACACATACGAAGAATTTGACTTAGATGATTAGATTGTACATTGCTCACGATGTGCTTACTCATACAATAATACAATAACACAATAATAAAATAAAATCAGACACAGGCAACAGTGTAGACAACACAAATATACACACTATGAACAAAAAACAATATAGACATATTGACAAATAGTGAAGTGAGAAGGTGTACATGTAGGTGGATGTGATATGATGCATACATGTGTGATGCATATGTACACATGTACACGATGGAGCATAGTGCAAAGGATGCTGGAATAAATATGTATTGGAGGAGTTATGTACTTGAGGTAGGTGGATTTGGTATAGAGTATATACAATGACAATATAACAGTATATACAGCACTGAAATAGAGAATAGTGAATAAATAATGGTAGTAACCAGTAAACAAACAATTAACATGTAACATCACTCTGTGCATTGTGTAGACCTATATATCTTGTCATGTCACAGTCAAGTACACAAATTAAATTGATTTATATTCAACATGTATAATTAAATAATTAAGATATTTAAAGACACAGGGCTCATCTAAGACAGGAACTCACACTTATGTAATAATGTAGAACCTGTTTAAAGGCACCATCTACATTGCCTTGAGGTAAATTGTAATTTGGTTGTACATATACCAAAATATATTACCAATACCAGTAAATTACCAAAAACCATACACACAACGAACCTCTCATGGGGTCCTGGGGCATTTGCCTACTTTCCCTAGCTGGTAATCCACATTACCAATTCTACACATTTCCTTTTGCTCTGTAAAAGGTGGTTGGAAGAGCTTTCCCAAAAGAGTAAGTTAAATATAAGTAAAGTCTTAACACGTTAAATTAGTTTAGTATTATAGTCTGTAGTATTTGTATAAGGAAGATCTTTACCTAAGGAATAGGTTAAACATAATGGAAGACTTAACAAATTGAACTAGGCTAGTTTAATTTTGTAGGTTCTAGTATTTGTATAAAAAGACTATGAAAAATACAGTTTGTTTTGAAAGGCTTTTGATTCTTCTCCTATGCCTATCTAGTATTATAAAACGTTTTTGTGATTATGCTTCACCTAATAATTTGCTTTGAATTGACAGAATTCATGCTTTTATTTTCAGCATACAAACAAATTTCCGGTCTTGTTGTGGTTTGCTCTTCTTATGTACAGTCTATGGGTTTGCTTAACACATGTACTTTTTTTCTCTGCAATACCAACATTGAGAAGTGAAACAGTTAAACAGTGTCACCTACAGGTAAAATGGCAGGACCTAAAATCCCCCCAAAATATCCACACTCTAGTTGGACCTTCATAAAAAAATAAATGAATAATAAAAGAACTAGGAATGATTAATACAATATTATCATCATGACTACGTCACAATTATGATAGGCTACAGTATACTACTATATAATAATCAATGAATTACAAGTGACAAGTGTGAGATAATATCTAAGAATTATGAGATACTTCATAAATGTGGCTATCAAAAAGCAACAATTATGGTTTGAACTTCATGAAGTCCATGACTGTCTAGAATGCATACAGACGCATTGCACCACTTATCCCAAAAAAATAGGTCCCGAGTCGATCACCTGCTTTGAGATGACGAATAATAACTAGAAATGTTATGATTGATATAAATCAATAATGCCATCAATAGAAATGTTAATATGCGCCAACATATGAATAAAACACATTTTCAGAGTTAAATGTGTTTTTGGCTTTCCATGAAACCAATAGGATTTTGTCCACAAGGCGTCAGCAAAACACAATTTAAAGAAGCTGCAGACTGTCCTGTGGACATGCAAGAGCTGCCTGTCAAAGCGAAAGGAAATATTGTATCTATGCCAGAGAGTGAATGCTATAAATATTCTCTATTGCTTTTGTCTGAATCTCTGAACATCAAGCCTTCGTTCTCCTCTAACATGATGCAATTATTGTGTGAATCATCATAACCATTAATATCACTTACAAGACACCACAATGAAGAAAATGTCAATTCCAAGGCATTGGCCTTAACAGTATAATAAATTCACAATGCGTTCCAATGTAGATGTGCATAATCTGTTAAAAAATAAGCTATATTTCATGTGCAGTGGAGTTATCTGCTCCTATGAATACCTGTTGCTAAATATTAACAGGGGACAACATTAGAGATTGAATTGGCGCTTGCTCCAGTGAAATTGTAGGGCTGGGAACTCCTTGAAACCCCCTCAAGGGCCCCCGAAAGTCCCCGCACCCCACTTTGAGCCACCGCCGCCTTGATGAAAAGATCCTTTCTGATGCAGAGGGTGACAGCACAGTTGTCTAGCATAACGCCCGCCTCCACAACACGTCAACCAATAAATCTAAACCTCCTTCCATTTTGAACCAATAATACGCGAGCCTCTCCTTAATCTTGCCCAATCAGTTTCGAGTACCGACTCCTCTTTTCACAGCCCCCGTGTCTGACCAATCAGGAGCGAGGCCGCCTGCGCAGATGGGCTGGGCGCGAGAATCGGCGGGATGGACAAAAATCATAACGCCGAACAGACGTACAGACAAGTGAGATAGAAACAGTCCGGAGAGCAGGCAAAGAAAGTGATGTGTTACTCTCTTCTACTTTATATCGGCTTTTATTTTGTGATATTGCCTTTTCGGAAACAAGTCCCGGAAGAGGACACAGCTTACGCGTTGCTTTGGAGAAATGTTATCGACGACGAATAAGGCTTCTACAGAGAGAGCGTAACTTTAATGTTATGGACTGTATATTAAGTTAGCTCACTGGCTAGCCGAAGTGTGCTAGCTAGATGCTTCTCAGAGGAAACCAGCGATGACTGACAGCGATTTCTATGGATAAACATCTATTAATGTGGGATTTTGTAAAGCTGCCAAACACAGGTTCGTCTTTGAAAAGGTTCAGTCATCCTACCGACTGTCATGGACAACGTGAAACCCCGCAGGTGGGTCTAAGCTATAATGCTGTTTCACCATCTGTTCACAGTCACCAGTGCTTCTTTGCACTTCTAGTAAAAATAACTAAATAAGATTGATTTTAGTCATGATTATCGTGATAATACAGTGTGAGCATTCACACTGCATGAGTTTTATCTATGGCAGCATGACGTACACTGCACGTGCACCTGCAGTCTTGCTGTAACAAGGTCCATCTACGGGAGTACCAACAATAGATACTTGATAATTAATAGTTAATAACCTACCTCTCCCAGTAGCCTGAAACATGTACCGGGATAGTGATAAATGTGCTGGAGACTTTAAGTAGAAATTTATTGATTCTAAATCCCGAATCACTATTGTTTTGTAAATGTTGTTGCAACAATACAGTTTAACCTGCATAATAGTTTGCTATGCGACAGAGGCGCAGCCCTTTGCCAGACAGCAGTTATGCAATAGCACCATACACAGATAAAAGCTGCATCAGATAAAATGTTTTCCATCCAAACATTTGTATTATCTGGTCTTCTTGGAGGACTGTGTTTCTGCCAAGAGAGACAAAAAGCCAATGGGTAAAAGTAGTCCAAAGCCCTTCTTTGTTTTTCAAAAACCCTACCTAAGAAAGTACCTGAGAAAACAAACAGATGTGCTGGTTTGTGATTAGACTTGATAAGGTATACTGACCCGTTAAATTATACTTTACTGACATACATAGGTGCAGAGTAATAATTATGTTTGCAATCAAGTGTTATAATTATTTATAATAAAAACACAATTAGTGGTGAAATGAGAATGATGAAAGTGAGTTAACTGATTCCTTAGTCATATATCAAGCTAAATTGCCAAACATTTGCTTGTTTCATTCTCAGTTTTATCTCATTCTAAAATAAATCTTTGGGGTTTTGGGTGGACGAAAAGAAAAGATGTGACATTGGTCTATGGGGAATCGTGATTGGTATTTTTTTTTACTATTTTCGGGCTATTTTATAGACCTAAGTAAACATGTAATTAAAAAAACAATCAACAGATAAACCAACAATGAAAATAATTGTTAGTTGCAGCTTTAGTGATGCCTGCATTAAGCTTGAATTAACTGTTGAATTAACTGTTTGTCTCATGCCCACCACATACTCCTCCCTGTGTTTACATCTGGAGAGAGATGGGTGGGTCTTTCGCAAGCAACTTAGGTTTTGACTTGGGGACCCAAATCCTGTATTTTACAGTATCCTATTTATTCGTTATGACCAATGAAATATTACTAATGCAGCAAACTCTGATGATGAATGTTTGGTGCATTGGTGTCTATTTGTTTTACTGCCACTGAGGCGTTCAGCTGATACTACAATTGTTCCTTTTGAAGCACATTTTAATGATATTCTTATTATTCCAAAGTGGGCAAATAATGTGTTAAACAAAATGCGAAGAGGTTACTAAAGTCTGCATGTTTTTTTAAACTTTCTGAACAACTGGACCGTTAGGACTTTGCCATTCCCCTGACCACACCCCAGAGCACCGCCTCCTCCATCTCAGTGACACACACACACACACCTCTTGAGGTGAAAGAGCCTGTTGATGTGGGATCGCCCCTTTTCCTCCAAACCCCTCACACCCCTCCTTCCTGTTCAGCCATAGGTTCAGACTCACTTCCCCACTTCTCTTTGCTCTGGTGGGGGAATCAGGCCACGCCAAAATTCAATTGCAATGTTCAAGTTTCCACACTGAAGAAGACCTTTCAAACGCAGTCTGGCAGGAGACCCGAGGAAAGCACTGTGTGTGTAGTAAAGTGTGTGCATGTGTGATCGTAAAGGTCTGCTGCACAGCAACAGCTCTTACGAACGGATTACTTAATTTCTCCTACATTTATTAAACTCTTCTCCATTGGCACAAAGAAAGTGTTGCCCAGCAGCAAGTTTTATGGGAACACAAAAGTACAGTGCTGCCTGCCAGCTTATTGTGTCAGTAGAGAGGAATTTTGTTTTCTTGTATGAATACAAGTTGTTTCTTTCTTTCCTTTTTATTCTGACATAGTTTTGCCAAAAGCTGGTGGTCCTCTAAATCTCTAAAGTGGAAGTCCTTTTGTACCCTTTCACTGTTATTATGTCTCACATTGAAACCCACCCGTTTGACAGTCCTATTCCTGTTTACATTTTTTAATTGATCTGTTATCTGAGTGTATATACTGTCTGACTGCAGTGTGAATGCAATATTAGTGATGCGTCAAAGCCAATGCTGTAGTATTTTTTTAGTTCGTTATCATCTATCACCTATAGTTTGTCACTTTTAGACTAAAATATTCTGAAAGCCTCTTGTAAGTGTCATCCATGGTTTTGTGTTTCCTTGTATTTCCTTGTCTTGCTTGTTTTGACTGTGACATTGAAAGAGTAGTTCTAGGAACTACCCACCTTGTTAAGCGTTTTGTATCTTTTCCTAGTACTCTCCTTTACACATGAGAGCATGTGCATTGGCAGGATGTCCTTTACAAGTAGAGGGATTTGCATGTTTGCATTTCCTTAGGCGTATGTTTTTAAAACTAATCAGGATACAGTTTTACTAAGTGTTTGAAATCCATTATAGAATGACAGAAACTAAAGTACTGATACAGGTGACTGCATTAACACTCACCAGATTTATATCACTGTTTCTGCTTATTCCTGACCTTATAAAGACACGTTTTGGCTCAATTTATAAAATCTGCTCTTCTTTTACTCCCTTTCCACATTATTTTTTAGCAATGATGAGGATGAAGAGCTACACTCCACAGACCCAGAGAGTAAAGACAAGAGCAAAGATAAAAAAACCCTGTGCAAAGTGAAGTGGTCCCGAGATGAGGTGAGTTTATCAGAGGCACAAGCAAGGTCTGGACTTCAGGGGGGTTTGTGGGTTATTTGAGTGCATGAAATGGGGACTTTTTTCTGCATGAGATGTGGATTTTATCTTGCAAATAAGGAGGGGTTTAAGTGTGTGCTCCACACATCTTAGGGGAACCTTAATAATTACTGTTATTTTATTCATTAATACAATGAAAGTGGACAACATGCTAATGTAGATGATGGAAGTCCCTCAGGAGGGATATTGTTTTCACTCTGTCTTTTTTTTTTCCTCCCCTCTTCCCAGGATGAAAAGCTGAAAAAACTTGTAGAGCAGCATGGAACTGACTCCTGGAAATTAATATCTAACTTTGTTCAAGTAAGTATGTAATGTAATGTGTCTGCATTGTGTAATAAGAGTACTGCTTTATGCCACATTTGTTCATTAATTAAGCTCATAATTAACAGCATTCCTCAATAGGATGTTACTAACAGTGATGGGAAGTCATGGGTGCAGTGACTGGCGAGGCTGATTTATTTCCCGCTGTTAGGAGTAGGTGTAACTGTGAGGTGTGTTGTAAGGAGGTGTTGTGCCTTGTGCCTCTGTCACAGGGGAGGACAGATGGCCAGTGTCAGCACCGCTGGCAGAAGGTGCTCAACCCAGAGCTGGTCAAAGGACCCTGGACAAAAGAGGAGGATCAAAAGGTAAGAGGAGCTGGGAGTTTCCTTTTCTGGCTAGAAAGAGGGATCACAAAATAGGTAAATAATAGGAGAGACAGAAGGAAGCTGTGGTGAGTGTGGAGAGCAGCTTAGTCTAAGTGAAAGAACACAATACAAACACAGATGCCACAATACAGAATGCGGTGTATCTTTTACCTTCAGACTAAAAGGGCTGTGCACATGCGCAAGCTTACTTCCCGCTAAAACTGTCTTTCCCTTCTTTTTTCACAAAATAAATGCTCCACTACATCATGCCTAATAAAACACAGACTTTCCAAGTAACTAGTTGAGAGCTCAGCCCTTCTTTGTACAGAGTGAAACTCTGATATCTTTCCCGGCTCCGGGTTGAATAATGCATTCCTTAAATGGGTCGTGATTCTTCAAGAATGGCGTCTCATTCCTCCAACATCTTGGCATCATAACAGAAACACAGACCTATCAGTAACAGCCTGGGCTGCCAACGATGACATCACAACATTTTTCCACCTTGAAAAAGCCAAACAAGCTGTGCTGCTGCTACAGTCAAAGCTCTCTAAACACAAGCACTGTTGTTGGCTATAAATGAGAAAAGTAGAAAGATGTGATTTCCTATTTTATGCAAACTTGTAGTTTGAAATTAATCCAATTAGGCCTTACATTAAATGAAAGAAGAAAGCACTACTAGAATATGCAGCAGTATACAGATTATAATTTTCTGATTTAGAAATAAAAACTGTCTACTAACGATCCCGTCTTTGGGGATGTTTGTGTAGGTTATTGACCTGGTACACAAATATGGCCCCAAGCGTTGGTCGGTGATCGCCAAGCACCTCCAGGGGAGGATTGGGAAGCAGTGCCGTGAACGGTGGCACAACCACCTTAACCCAGAGGTGAAGAAGTCTTCATGGACTCAGGAGGAGGACCGAATCATCTATGAGGCCCACAAACGGCTTGGCAACCGCTGGGCAGAGATCTCTAAGCTTCTTCCTGGACGGTAATACAATCTTGTGTGCACATTGCATATGTCTACTTCCAGTATGAGTCATGAAAACTGCTAAACTGTTACTGATCATCTCCCCAACAGGACGGACAACTCCATCAAGAACCACTGGAACTCCACCATGAGGAGGAAGGTGGAGCATGAGGGTTACCTGCAGGATGGCTCCAAGAGCTTCACTTCTTCTCACAGTGGAGTGAAGAGACGCCACCACAGGCCGTGTCCCACTCCAACAGAGCCCCAGCACTGTGATCGCAGTCCCCTGCCTATATCAGGACCCAACCAGGTCCACTTCCCTTCTGGACTCCACCCTATATGCTGTTTTGATTTCTTTTATTTGTTGTCTGTATTGCTTTTTATTTAAGCATGATTCTATGTATTTTAGATGGGGGGATGTCCTTATGATCCTCACAGTGGAAACTTGATGGACAATCTTCCAGATAATTCAGGCTTCTTATTGGTGAGTGTTTGTGGGGGTTTTTGCATGCTAGTGGGACAAACTTGTCACATTCTTTTTTTTTTGTTCTGGACTTTCTGTAGTTATTCTTGGGATTGCTAACTCTGGGCTTCAAATCAAATACTAGAATGTCCTGTTATTTTCACCTAACATTCAATAACATTTAAAAGGGCGTAGATCTGAAATGCTCCCGTAAATATATTATGTGTAAATCTTGTTTTGGTTTTGTCTGGTTTTCTTAACTTCTTCCTTTCCTCCTGTCCTCTCGACTTCTCCTCCCTGACGTTTGTTTATTTCAGCCATCCTGCCTGGATGATCCTGACAGAGAGCAAAGAATTAAGGAGCTTGAGCTGCTGCTTATGTCAGCAGAGAATGAAGTCCAACGACAAGTGCAGTGCAGAGGTCCATGTGTAAGAACACACTCTGAATGTGTGTTTGCATAGTCAGCATAGCCTGCGTGTGTTTGTAGCTTACATACACTGTAAAAAGTAAACTGTCATTTTTAATATTAAATCTTTTATTTAATTCAATATTGAGTCTTAAAATCAAATCAAAAAGAGATAAATAGAGAATATTATGAATTTTCATGAACCAGGTGTTATTTTCTACGCCTGACACTTGTTTATTGAAAACTCCTATATCCTCAGCGAACTTTTCTTTAAGGAAAAGAAGATTTTAAGACTGAAGACTAAATGACTGTGGACTTTTTGCAGTGTATACATGTGAAAACGAGAATGGCACACATGTATGTGTGTCTGTAGCCTGATTTGCTGTAGTGTTGCTATAGTAACTACCTTCCCCATCTCGCTACTCATCCAGACTGGCCTGAAGCTGTGCTTGGTAGCCCCCCCCCCACTCCCCACATTACCATCGTTCCAAACATGAACCTGCTCCCTTATCCCCTCCCGTCCTCACCCCCATATCCCACGCTCAGCCAGCAGTTTGAACCAAGCACTCTCCTCTGTCTATCCTGTTCCTGTTCTGTCTTTCACATTCAGTTCACTCCATTCATGTAATGTGTCATTCTTCACAGTCAGTTAATTGAATGATTGAACAGTGAAGATTGGCCTGATATGTTGTAGTATCACCAATAGGGGTGTGACGATATTTCTTGTTGAGGTGAAAAGCTGTCTCATGATATCAGCGTGATGGAGTCTGATGGTGAAATTAGCATAGAAGATGCCCCCCCGCCACTTTAAAATTGTTTGTGTGGCAGCATTTTGGGTACCCAGTGGAAAACAGTAAATGGCGATAGAGTGACAGACATGACACAAACAATATTTAAGCATATTGTACCCAATATCAAGTTTCATCTTGTGAGCTAAGTATATCGTCACACCCCTAATCACCAATGTTTTCCACATATTCCTAGTCACAGATCATTTTATGCAAATTTACATCTCACAACATTAAGCAAACTGCTGCTGGAGCCAGAGATCTAACCCCAGTGGTCTCTCATCCTGCCCCCTCAGAGTCTGGAGCAGTACTGGTCCGACGACGTGTCAGATGACACACTGACCACAAGTAGTAGCAGCCTAGAGGAGCAAGCAGAGAGGAGGCCCTGGAGGGGCCCTGAGATCCCCCAGGGACCTCCACCACAGCTTCCTGTCTCCCCCAGCAAGTTCCTGGCTGTAGAGGCCAGCACTGTGCTCTCTACCCTGCAGACCATACCAGAGTTTGCAGAGACCATGGAGCTCATTGACTCAGTGAGTAACAGAAGGAGCACTGCGCAGAACAAATGTATCTCAGTATGAATTTGTTGACTAAAAGTCATGAATGTATTAAAGATCTACTGTAGATGTGTTTTGCTCTCCAGGACCCTGCTGCATGGAGCGACATGGCCAGTTTTGACTTGTCAGAGACAGCGACACCGCCCAGGCACAACCAGGCAGGCTACACCACGCTCCTGCAAGAGAGGACAATTGACAATTCAACGGGCTACACAGTCAACACTCCGACTGCCATCTCCTGCCATGATAAGAGCTGTGCTCCATTTGGTGTGGGCAGTGTCGCCTCCCTGACTCCTATCACCTCATCCAAACCCACCCAGGCATCCACTGGGAGGAGGAGGAGAAGAGAGAGGGGTGAATCGTCTCCTTTGTGCAACAGGACCTGCTCCTCCTTTTTGGAAGATATCTCAAATTCTCCCAAGAAAACGCCCATAAAATCACTGTCATTCACCCCATCACGAGTAAATCTGTGTTTCTTTTTTCATTTCACCATAATCCTTGCCTCAGCTGACTACTTCCTCATAAAGTTGATATATTCTGTAGGTTGCATTGGTCATGTGTCTAATATGCTTTGTCTGTCTGTTTCCCCCAGTTCTGCAACATATCAGGGTCGGAGCATCTCAACCTGGATAACCCCGCCCTCACCTCGACTCCTGTGTGTGGACAAAGGTGTCTCCTCAACACTCCGCTCCAAAAAGAAACCACACTTAAGCACCAGAAAGAGAATGATGGGTAAAATATACACACACACATACACATATGTATGTATGTGTATATATATATATATATATAGAAGCAGTACACATCCCAAAAGAATTGGCATAAAAGCCAGAAGCTTGCTATGCTTTGTGGAAATTTTTATCTTAATTTAATGGGATTTTTAGGACAAGAGTACTCTGTGTATAATATTCTTTAATTACTTTCTAGTTTGCGGACCCCCAAATTCCGTAAAACAGTCATGAGTCCAACCCCAAGGACACCGACTCCCTTCAAAAATGCTTTGGCTGCCCAGGAGAAAATGCATGGGCCACTGAAGATGGAGGTAAGAGTTAAAATGTTGCTGTGAACAATTTACCTTTGTACTTACACACTTCATACTTTTATTTAACTGTATTTATGATATCTTTCTTATTTTGTAGAGTATATGGCTGTATGATCTTGTGTTTATATGTGTGTGTGTGTATGTATGTGTCCGTGCTTTCCAGCCACAGCCATTGGCATTTCTAGAAGAAGACATTCGAGAAGTTCTGAAGCTGGAGACTGGAGCGGACATTTTTAACAGAGCAGACATCCAGCCAGACTACAGAGCATGGAAACATAATGTATGTGTAGCAGGCACACTTCTTTTGCAGAAAGAAATTAATGAACTATACAAACCTGCTCTCTGTTATCTGAAGAAACAAATACACATATTACACACAAATACACACATTTTTAAATTTTACTTAACTCAATAATAGTACGTAAGTACAAACTACAGCTCTGTCCTTTGATTTTAGATTGATGGCCCAGCTAGAAAGGTGCGTAAGTCTCTTGTGCTGGACCCCTGGGCCAAAGACTGCCTAAACATCCAACTCTTCCAAGAGCAGCTCAACAACACACAAGTAAGTCACAATACTGGTTTAAAATCATTGGTTCACATCTTGTAACTGGATGGGCAAACTAAGTCAGTAACTACCACTGATTTGTACAAGTGTAGGTCATGTAACCCCTAAAAGAGCTACTCAGTCGCCAACAATAAGCAGGCAAATGTTGAGCCTTAGACAAAACTGTAAAATGTTACTTGAAATAAATTTCTAATAATAGATACTGAATTATATTCAGCATCGTCATCACTTGTATTTTTAATTGAGCTACTCCATTTATTGAACCTTATATTGCAGGTGCCAGATGAAAGTTTACTGACAAACTCTTCACTGATCACCACAATCCCTGAGCGAGAGGAGTGTAGCCATTCTTTGACTTCCGGCCGAGAGGATCCCCCATTAGTCCCCGTTCAGCCTCATCGCTTTACCAGCCCCCGGATGAAGAAGCTTCTTGCTACCCACAAAGCACCAAAGCACTCCACTCTACAGGTACGTGGTCTTTAAAAAAACAACAACGATGACGTCATGTGCATAAATGTTTTTTTTCCCCGTGCTGCTCACCAAAAAACTTCGTATTCTTAAAGTCTAACAAACCTTGACTACCTTCCTCATAAAACATTTGCAAATTTGCATTTACATCCATGTGTACTAGCTTGAAGTCTTCTTCCCTGCCTTTTGTGGTGCATTGTAGCATATCTGAGCGTGTTACTGCCACCTGTAGATCAGTGGAATAGATTGTGTGAAAATCATTTTCACAATGTTGTGCAGAATGAAGGGTAGGCTTCTTTGTCAGCCACTGGTAATTGTTGATTGCCTTATCTGCAGGTGAGTGACTGGGAAGCAGTTGTTTATGGGAAGACCGAGGACCAGCTGATCATGACAGAACAGGCACGTCAGTACCTGAACCCTTACCCGCCATCTGGCTCTACCTCAAGGGCCCTTGTGCTTTAAAGCCGTCCCCTTGCTGCGCAGGCAACACTACTACGCCCGTCCAACAACTAAAACCTCCACTGAAACCTGTAAGAGACAATCCAGTGAAGACAAATGATTTTCTTTTTCTTTTGAAGCAGAAATACCCCGCCAAGGACGTCCACAAAAAGGCACGGCTGCTGGTATTGTTTTCAACACATTTCTATGTCACTGGCCAAGTAGTTTTGTTGTTCATAGATCTGTTAATACACACAACCTGGCAACGTATAAAATTTTGTACAGATATGAAAAGGCTAGATTTTTTTCTGCACTAGACAGTAATGTTGAAACAACCTGCACATGAAGTAGGCGGTAGGAATAGTGTTTATTACTAGCAGTGGCTGCTTCTGAGTTTTATATTGTTAATATATATTGTTTAAATGACAAGAAACATTAATATAACGCTACTTATTGTTTATCTCCTCTAGCTTGTTTTGCTAAACTGCCCTATTGCTGTTATCCAAGAAAAAACACCTACATGCAAAATGTGTAGCTTTGTTTTTGGCACCTATGTATTTTAAAATCGCATCATGGGTTTTTTTAACATGACACACACAGTATAATGTTAACCGTTGCTTTTAAATTAGAGAAACAAAAAATGCATTTCCATGTTGTTGTTTTTTTTGGTGACAGCAGTGTTATATTCCTGAATGCGTATCCATGGTGATGTGAAGTTTGAAATAAGAAGCTGTCAGTATTGCACTACTGAGTTGATTTTGCTGCTGAGAAAAAAAGGAGCAGTGTTTTTAAGGGCAAACTGGATAGCACTTGTTATGGGGTTTTATTTAAACAACACGTTTCCTTTCCAAGGCCATAGTGTCTGTCAAGACATTGGTTGAATGTATTTCATTGCAATGTAAGAACCTCAAAAATGGAAGGGTACCTTAATGTTTATTTCTGTTTGTTTTATTTATTATCTGACAGCTCTAAAGCTTAGATATTAATATAAAATCGGACACCATGAGTTTTTAAGAAGTTTAACTTTGCTGACAAAACAGCCTAAAAACCCTCACTTGCTCTAAAGCAGTTCTCTCTGTAATAGAGGATCAATGGTCACCGTTGCTTCACTTTTCATATCGTCAGTGTTTTACAACAAGCATTTGGTCAAGAAGGATTTACGTTTTATGTGAAGGCTGTAGGTTTTATTTATTTAATGTCTACTAATTTATTTATTTCTAAAAAGTTTTAAGAAAAATTATTGAAGAATTTTTACTGTCTTTTCTCTTTCAAAATCGGGCTACCATTCAGTTTCATTACTCCAAGAAGAACATGCACTGCAACTAATTTTATGTTCATTTCTTTTCCTGATCAGGCAAGAACTAGCAAAGAATCATCATGTAGTTGTATCTGGTGATCTTGTAACATAGAGATAGGTCATTTCTTTCCTTTGATTCCTTCAATTCTTTGATTGTTCTTCGCTATTAGGTAGCAGGACTCCATCTCCAACCTCTAATCGTAGACAAATTGCACTTTTTACTAATCATTTAATTTTGTTCGTGTTGATCAGTGTTGGGCAGTTACTGTAATATTACTTTTCCCAGTAACTAGTAGTGTAATGGATTATTTTTCTAAAACGGTAATATTATTACAGTTACTAATCCAAGTAATGCTGCCTTACTGTGTTACTGAATGGGCCATCCTTGACGTGAGCGCACAACTGTGCAGCAGCTCAGCGGCACCAGACTTTGTTATTTCAGTCAGCTGTTAGCCAAAAAATAAAGAGATTATGAGGGTGAGAGGCGTTCTTTCCACAGCTGTAAGTAGTTACTGCCATTATTGTGTCACAGAGATTGTAAATTCTGTGCAACTAGTAAAAAGCTTTCAAACATGAACAATTCTACATTTAAATATTGAAGCATCTGCTAAAGCAGGACAGTAACAAGAAACTTATAGAAAAACACTCCGGCAGCTACTGACAGTGATGCTAAGACTCGACGGGAGAGAGTGGTGTTATAGTAACGTTTTGTAAAAATACTGAACACTGCTCTTATAAATAGGCTACATGAGCAGAAAAATAGCTTTTCAAAAGTTGGATTTACTTGCTTTACTTTTTTATTTCAGCCAGTGGCGTAAAGAAACGTTATGTTTTATAATTAAAAAAAAACATACTCCTTGCTGCTGTTATGAATATGATATTAGTTAAAAAGTCGTGAGAGACTGCTTTGAAAAAAAAGCAGTGTTTCCCATAAATCAGTATATGGGATAATTGTCAATGCTGACTGCCACATATTGATTTTCTATTTTTTTTACTAGGTGTATTTAAAATCCTAATTGATTGAGGAGCTGTATTGAGGAGCATATATTCGTGCAGCACCTCCTCTCGCTCGCTTCCTCCTCCCCCTCTCTCTTTCCAGGCACCACAGTTATGGTGTCATTCTGTGGGCAACACTGGAAAGTAATATAGTAATTACTTTTATCACCCAGTAATAAGTAAAGTAATATTACTACTTTTTGAAGAAGTAATAAGTAACTAGCAATTTCAGAGTAACTTGCCCAACACTGATGCTGATAATGTAGCTCTTGTCCTTTTTTGTGTGTGTGTGTGTGTGTGTGTGTGTGTGTGTGTGTGTGTGTGTGTGTGTGTGTGTGTGTGTGTGTTAGATGGTTGTCTCCCCGTTTTGTAATGAAAACTGACATTAAGATCATGCTGCTTGATTTTAACATGATTTCAACTCCTGTTCTGCAGAAATGTGTGCTCAAACACACTACATTAAAGCCTTACATTAAACTGGCAGATGGCTCTGGGAAAACAGCTAACACAGAGCGTAAATGCCTCCTGAAAGCAAGACCTCAAACCCCTACCCGCTCGCTCATTATTTGACACTGCTTAAGAACAAAATGCTTAAAATGTCATGTAAATATGCACATATTTGGGTGTGATTCTGAAGAAGTGTACTGCACTGTGCTTCCATGTTAACAGGCTGATTCACGTAACGCATCCAGAAACAAACAAAAAATCTATAATCTGCTGAAGTAACACTAAAAGCTATAAACGATCTTCTTTGTATTATCGGCATTAGTGGATCCAGTATTTATAGTTATAATCTGGATTATCCTGCATTAGGCATTTGAGTGAGAAAAAGAAGGGAATCTTGTCAGGGAGATCAAGTGGAAAGATCAGGAGTATATAATACACAGCTCTAAAACAGAAAGACTAACATCCACATAAGACAAGTGTATTTCAATCTGGTGGCTGAGATGTGTCGAATCTGTATATTATTGTGTTTTACGTTCTGTTTGTTGGTTTGACTTGAGTTTGTACATTTCATTCGTCCAAGTTGATAATTTTGTATGTTAACAACATTTGGCCGTGTAACAGCATAGGTTTTGAGGGAATTAAGTACATACACAGGATAGCAGCAGCTGTTATATACTACTGTAGTTATGCATGAGCAATACACAAGATGCTGGATTTGCTTTAATTGACGAGGTGAATCACAGATGAATACTCGCTCTAGATTTTGTAGCATTTGAAATCATAACCAAGGTACCATAGAAATCCTGCCAACTGTCTTTGTAACCATGTACTTAATTTGTGAAAAAAAATAAATGCATATGTTGAATGACGAGTGTCTACATTTTTCCATGTGTTTGAAATTCAGCAGAGTTTTCTCTCTCTGCCAAGAGCCACTGTACAAATTGTGTGGGTTACATGGTATTTCCCAAGTAATAAAGATTTCTGATGATCATTTAGATTTTCTGACATGCTCACAGCAGGCATAGCAACCTCTTGAGCACTTGCCAAAAACTGATTCCTTGAAAGCCATTTTCTTGAGGGAAGTGGAAATCCTTCACCGTTAAATCGTATTGTGATGCTTATCCCCAGGTGGTGTTGACAGCCATGCAGGTGAAGTGTTTGCTCTGGGGATTTACAGCTGATAGTGGTTTAGCTGACCCCCTGTCATGTGTGTATGTATATGTTGGGATGCTGTCAACTTGGCCTGGGGACCAGGGACACGAGCCCCCTCTACCAGAACAAGAGGCCTCTCCACAGGGTCAGCTGCTGGCCCTAAAGGGGCCCACTCACCCATGACTTAATGCCCCCGGGCTCCTTTGTCCTCGGGGCTGTTGGTTTTACAGGCCCATTCACTCAATTGCCCCCCAAATGGAGGGAGGCAAAGAACGTGACGACTTGTGCTGAAGGAGCAGCAGTGCACATGCATACAAACAATGTGCACATAAACACACGGGCACTGCATGCACGCCATGTCCACTTAATCAATCTGTCCTCCCTTTGCTGTTGTTCTTGTACAAGAGGGTCTTTTGTTCTTGCGTGACCCGCACTGAGAGTTCAAAGATGTCAAGGACCTTTTGCCTCTTAATTGGTTATTGGCAGCAGCCCCTACCCCTCATGCTTCATGCATGTATTAAAGGAAAGCAATTATTTGATTAAAGTGACTTACTGACATGTAGACACATACCTCGGAGTAGACTTGTTAGCTGTACAAAGCTGTCATTGTGAGATTTATTAAAGCTGATTTATATTTTCCATCTTTTTATTTGACTACACTGTAAAACTTGACATGCCAAAGTTTGCACCACCGATTTTTATTATCCAGTGCAGGTCGGCCCAGTATAGCTCCAGTCATTGCGTTAGCCATTAATGGCATGTGTTCATTTTTGTGTCTACCTTGTACACTGCAGACATGAAACAGAGCCTACAGGCGTTTAACCAAATCTCCCCTGCCTTCTTCCTCTGAGCACACACCCAAAAAGCAAACACACAACAACACACACACACACAAACACACACTGTTTGCCTTTGTGTATGCTAGACAGCAGATGGCAGTCCATTATTGGGCTGACAGAGTAGTCATCTGGCAGGCACCCTGTTACCCCCCCTCCCCCATTCCCCCCAAAGACACAGTACAACACAGCAAGGATTGGACACTTTTAGGCGGGAGAGTCCACAGCTCTGGGAGTGTGTGTGTGTGTGTTTGTGTGTGTGTTAAAATTGGACCCTGGCCTTTCCTATATAGGTCACTATTTCCACTTGTGTGTGTGTCAGTGCCGTGTGAGGTAAGTCAGGCTCCCACTTGTCTGGGGACTTGACATGAAGAAACACACACAGTGACCGTATCTATTACTTTATATGTATTACTTTTAACCACCTATAAGTGAGTCCCAATACACCACTTATAGGCACAGGTGAAAAAAGCAGCTGGTACCTTTAAGACAAGTGACATTTCTCCTTTTATACACCTCCTATTTATGCACATATTGTATATTAAATCTCATTAAGGGAAGTACACATACTATCTTTTTTTTACGTCCTGTCATGTGTCATCATCCAAGGGGTCAGAATTTTAATGTGCAAGATTCTCAGTAATTCCTTTCCTGTATTTAAAACTGAGAGTCACATGCTGAAGATAAGCTGTAAACAGTAACGGCAGTTGAAAGGCCCACTCAAATATTCTTCTCATGAATCAGAGTTTGCTCAGAGCTGTCTCTTTGTAATATTTACACCCTTCCCTGTGCAAGACATGCAGCTGAAACACTGGCCCCAGAGTGACTGCCTCCTACAGCCTTTATTACAAAGGATTTTACAACAGTGAATATCAAACGGTGGGGGATGAGGAGGAGTGTGTTTTCTCTATGGAGGTCAAGGCCAAAGTTAGGATTAGGTTTGGTGTTTGTTCCTCTGGAAGGAGGTAATCTACATCCCACCCTATAGAGATCCCACTATGGGGGCATGCTGGGAGGCACCACAGAAGAAGAAGACTACATGCGACGTCTGAGAGCTTTTATGTTGCTGGGGAAACCAGCACAATCCCTGGTCCTTTGGCAAGGCTTTCAGCAGGCCTCAATCACACTTCCTTTCGCTTGAGAGAGTTTTTCTCCCCTACTGCACTGTTAAGGAGGGAGGCCCAGTGTGTTGAAAATGAACAGGAGCTGAAGTATGAGGTAATACACTCAGGCATGTTTCCACAGAAATAAAAAGATGGTAGCCAGCAAGGGTTTACTGGTTTTATAATCATAATTGTTAATGTGCACATTAAGCAGCCAGATATATACATATTAACAGATTCACGTGAGCAGATGAAGTTGTAATTATATTCCAAAGCATAAGCCTGGCATTTGATCTTGCTGAAAAATGAGGCAGAAAACAGCAGCTGCTCAGCTCTCTGTACATCCAAACTTTCAGGCCACGCCCCCATTAGTGATGTCACATCAGGCATAGTCCATCAGAATTAATGGGCAAAACTCCTTCTGTGACATCACTGATTCAGGTTTGGTCTCTTCCTTCTGAAAATGCATCCGAGATGAGAATATCTGATTAAGGTAACGAGTACCTGCCCACATCAGGATATTCAGGACTGGTGTTTTTATATTTTATTGAAGTTACTATGTTCACCCACATACTCCCCCAAAGCAGCCTCACCAAAGTGGACTCAGCTCAGCCACCCAGGACAAAGAGGAGGGCCTCTTAGTCGCCCTCGAAGGCCCCATTGGTGGCTCCCTGGCATTCACTCTTTTTCCGGCACTTTGACAAGATCCTGTGGAGCAGGCTTGGGGATCTGTGTGTCTGAGGTTGGGAGGCCACAGGCTGAGGCAGAGGGATCTGGGGCCTCCGCACCAGGAAAGGGCCCCTGCTCTCGCCTTGGCTCCCATCCAGCACCACTCCTCCTCCCCTCCCTCCTCCATCTCCTCTGCTCCCCCTCCTGAGTGCCTGCAGAATGTGTCCACTGGGGGACAAAGAGGAAATAACAAACACAAAGGCCCTGTTTATTCCTCATGACCCAAATTCCTCTGCTAGCAGACAAGACAGGCATGAAGTTGTATGAGGGCTCTGTGTGGTGTGTGTGTGTGAGTGTACGAGAGCAAAGTTCAGTGGCATGCTGTCCAAAATAAATGCCCCCTACGGTCAAATAAACTGCAAGAGAGATACAGTATCCTATCAAACAATGTTTGTTGCAACACTGAATCAAACTGAACAAAAAAGTCATTTCATATTTGACAACCTATCATAAATATTCATCAAAAGATTTTGATTGCGTGGTCAAACATTTTCATACTGTTAGATGGAAAAGTACAAAGTATTTTCTTTCCCTCCTGCTCCTCTTTGGCTTTAATGAGATGCATTGCAGAGAGATGGGATTGACTAGCTTGTGTGTGTGTGTGTGTGTGTGTCTGTGCACTCCTGCATATATGTGTGTGTGTGTTTGGGGGGGGGGGGGTAGTAATCAGTGTGCTTTGTCAATTAATGAGGGACGAGAGAGGCCACCTGTTCAGGGGCGCTGGGCGGAGAGCAGTGGGATGGGATTTGGGGATGTGTGGGGGTTCGGTGGTGCAACAGCTGCTAGGTGCTGGGTGTGTGCTAGATGTGTTGATGTGTATGCATGCGTTTGTTGCGGGTGGGGGGAATATGTGTATATGTTGTTATGGCACTTACTTTCCATGTATACTGCGTACGCCTAAGTCGTTGTCACAGGCTGAGCTTCTCAGAGATAAACTCCTTCGTAGGGCTCTCACCTGAGAATAGGAACCATTGAGTGTGTTTGAGTCCAAAGCGTCAAAACAGACATCCTGAAATAAGCTGTACACTTCCTCTGGCACCTTCTCTTATCTGGTACTTGTCTACTTGTTAAATCACAGTAGACAGGTTTTATTTGGCCTTAATTTACTTCTTTAGACAGTAGCAGTGCAGAAATGTAAGTTTATTTATTGTGTTTGATTGAACATGTCTTCAGGACATGTTATGGTAAAAAACACATTATTATTATTAATGAATAATATAATTATCTTATTATATTAGATCAGACATTTTATCTATAAGGACTTTGATTATATGCAACAAAATAAACTAAACTAAAACCAAAACATTGCCATTGAGAGCTTTAAAAATAGACATGAATAAAGAAGTTGGCGTTGTTGTTGTATAGTCCTGAAAAGTCTGCTTTAACGGTTTAGTATTTCTTTCTACCTTTATTGATATTGGGTATTCCAGTGATTTATGCAAGGACTGACTTTTAGTCTCTAGCAGTGTTCAAGTGCTGAAAACACAATATACAACATTTCCCATAATGCAACTCAAATAACATCTTTGATCAAATGCCCACTTATTTCTAACACCACAACTCCAGTTTGCAATGCAGGCCTTTGGATAGAAATGTTTGTCAAGCCAAATCTGAGATTATTTTATCCAACTTTTAAAAAATCTCCCACAGAAGACACAACTGTTTCCAGAAGTTGAGTAGTACTCCTCGTGACAAATAAACTGAACTCCATGTGCAAAATCTGTGTAAACTGTGTAAAGATGTAAAAGAAAGTCTTTAGATGTTATTTATTAAGACCCTTTGCTCACAGTAAGAAGCTGATTTAGAAACTAGAGTCTTTAAAACCTGCACTGTTGTAGAAGGGCAGAATAAGAAAGAATAGAAAGTGCATTCTGCCTTCTGACATTAAGCAGCAGCATCAACACAGTCCAGCAATGCTGCATTGCTGAGCTCATTCAGGCAGCCAACCAACCTGGCTCAGCTCCATCACACAGGAGGCGGGGAAGTAGCCCTGTTGGCCGCCCTGCAGCCGCCCAAACCACCTCTCCTCCTCATGTTTGGACAACACCAGGATGACGTCACCTGGAGAGAGCTCCAGCTCATCTGGCCACTGGGGCCTGTAGCTGTACAGCACCACCATCTAAAGGACAGAGGAGGACTTACAGCCAGTCAATTGTTTTTCAGATTGCAAGACACGCTTTCAAATTGTACACAGAATTTAGAAAAAGGTACATTTTATTATTTTATTCCTGTTTTGTTAATACTGATAAAAAGCTGTTGTGACTGTCTACGTCTTCTCTGCAGTCTACAGGTCCGACTCATGGAGAGGATTATGTGTCAAGACTCAGAGACTAACTACAGTGCAGTGAAATAGAAACCCACAATCTGGGTCTCATCTTCATTATCTGTTCTTCCTAAATATGGTGCAAGCTTGTCAGAGGAATTAGATAAATTAAACACATAATGGAGCTACAGGAAATTGATTGACCTTACATGACATCAATGTCAAACTCATATCAATCAATCTCCAGTGCATAGAAGGAAACAAACCCATTTCGTTATCAGCTTTGATTCATATTTCTGCTTTTTAAGACCTACGTGATGTCAAAGCACTGACCTACAGCTAATGGTACATTTTATTCCTGTATAATAGGTGGATATTTTAATTAAGGAGAATGTTTAACTTGCCTTTTCAGCTTCTGCTCTGTATCGATACCTCCCTGTAAACCATTGAGAGTGGAAATGAATCAGCAAAAAAGGTTAGTTTTATAATTTGTCATAGCTGCAAATGTGCATAAGAATGTCTTTACAAAACTGCATGTTCGTGAGTATCTCTACAACCACGACAGCCCACAGGTAGAGATAACAAAGCATCTACCCCATTATTTATTAATCATCTGGCACCGATATGCCACCTTGCTCTCACTAAGCATGTAAATAATGACATGCTGCGCCACACTTTGCTGCAGATATGATTCCACTCACCTTGAGGAGCAAGGACAGTGGTGAAGACTTCAAAGTGTTCATTGCTGTGCATGTAGATGCGCTGCATGTTGAAGATCTGACACTTGCACACGGACCGGAGCTCCTGCACTGTCTCTGCACTACCTTTAAATAAATGCAGCTCACTAATCCACTGCAGCACTGACTGGAGCTGGACACAAGCAACCCTCCAAGGGTTCTTTATACAGTATGTGGGTACAACACACAGGCATGTACAGCACAAGAAAGTAGACAAATACAATCTAAGTTTATGGCATAAAAGTGTTTATTTTTAAGATTACATTCACCAGACACAGATTAATTTTTCATACTTTTCTGCTCAGCAATGGAATAAAAGGCGGTCTTGATGTGAGAGATCACGCTTGACCACCTCATCTTCATGCCAGCGCCTATTGTTCTTTGACCATCTGGTCACACGCGAGGGAAGTTTAAAGGCCGCTGCCACTGCTTGCCGGACGTGGGTGAGAATTCATAATTTTACCTCGCCAAGAGTACTTGATTGATTTAGGGTTATTGACTGTGTCCCATTTTCCAGTGGCCTGGGTGAGCAGAGACAAAGATGAATGGGCTTGGGACGGGGTGGCGGACTGCTCAACAGATGGTGATTGAACCCCCCCCCCCACACACACACACACACACCTCCCCTCTCCCGCTCTGGTGCGATGGAGCTTGGCTGTGAGCTTGTGTCAGCGATTAAAAAGCATCCATCAATAACATGAGAGATCACTCAGGCAGACAATCATATCCGAGCGATGGAAGCTCCAACCATTATAAAAATGACATGTCATGAACTTTAACTGCAGACTTAATTTTACTTTACTTCCTATAACAAATCTATTTAGAATATAGGTGCATTTCATTTCCCCCAATTCATTGCAATCGACGTCAACAGGAAATAAGGTTGAAATCCTGTCAGGAGGGCTGTGAATTAGATTAGTGAACTGTTGAGGTAACACCTGTAAATGGACGAGACAACTAGTAAACCTCATCATCTTTGGCCTCAGTAGTGCTGCAAAACACTTGATTGGACTGCACCCCCTCTGGCTGGAAGAGGAGTCTCTTTCTAAACAGGTTGCACATTAAATCTCCTGTAGAGAACAATTTAATATGTTCACTGATAATAGAAAAATTGTACTTACAAGTCTATTTAACAGATTTTTATATACTTAGGTTGCATCCAAATGTACTGAAGGAGCTTATGTAACGTAGCAATCTTCAACTCTTCTCACTGCTCCTAAATCAGTGTGATGCCTTCAGTCTAGACACCAAAGCCAAAGCAAAGCCTTTACATAACCAAAAATTTAAAACAGTTAAGCTGCTTAGAAATGTTTACGTCTAGCAAGGTTGAAAATACATGACCACCTCCATGTTCAAACGTGTATCTGTTAGGCCAAACCAGGGCAGCTATTATAAATGCACAGAAGAAGCTGTTGCAACTTGCTGCAGTTTCACATGATTTAATACAAATGAAGTTCTTTTATAGTAGGATTGGGTGAAATATATGACATGAAACATTATACATGTGTAAATCATTAGAGACTCATCCATTTATACAAAGATATATAGCCTACCCCTTAAATATCATTAATAAGATCATTACTTATGGCAGTGTAAAATTCTGACGGTGGTGAACGCTTAAAACCAGTGGCATCGAGGTGTAAAGCGTGACGGAAAAATGAGCAGCATCTAAGATTGTTTTCCAGAGCGCTGATTTTTACTAGCGTCCATAAACAAGTTACAAAAGTTTCACAACTCTCACAAAACATGCAGCAGTCTGACGGGTGTAAACGACTCCAGCACAGATGCCACCCAACCTGACCATCTAACACACTACGCTGCTTCCCCACCTGGCTTTTACACCTACGGTCTCTACCAACACCGTACAGTGAAGGGCACAGACACTCCCACGATAACTTGTTACTTGTAAAAAATGTTTACAATTTACCTTACCAATATTTCTATATACAGAATACAAATGACTATTGCCTACTACTGATGAAATTAAATGCATAGTAAAATGAAAAAATACCAAATAAAAGTCAAACTTGACAAAAAAAACTCTACCCACTCCCCTGTCCTCCCTGACCACTTGGTTCAGCCTAACAAGGTAATTGACAGTCCTGAGGCTGAATGCGCATGTGTGCGCTCCATGAAAAATACGCCCCGGAAGTACACATCGTTGTAGGGGTTCCCAAAATAAAAGCACAAGATAACTAAATTGAACTTCGTGTATTAGTCTGTTTTGTGTGTCTTTTTTCACCTTAGTGAAAGGGGGGATGCTTTATAGCTCCCTCACAGATAATATTGGATTTTTATGAGCATTTTCGCATCAATTTTAACCTTGATTTGTCAGGTCTTTAATTACATTTTTAATCAGCCCCCTCAAAAGATTCTGCTACAAGATTATTTTATCCATAACCATTTTCGAAAACTGATTTCTCAGAAAATATACTTTATAATGATGTACAGTACTAATCAAAGGTTTAAATTTACATTATTTCTCAGTTTTGCTGATCTAAACTTTGTTTTTACCTTCTTTGGTAATTCTGCAGCAATGGAAGTAAATGAAGCCTTGAAAGTTGATTCAAAAACAAATTTCTACAGCTGTTCCAGTTTGTAAACACCTTGGAACAGCCTATGTAAATACACCATCAGAAGCTTTATTAGTACAATATTGCATCCAAAAAGGCAATTAACAAAGGAAGACAGACCAGCTGGTCATTGGTTGATCCTTCAGTGAAATAATGAACACAACTCCCTAATTTAATTGTTAATTTCTGAAAATGTCTGTTTTGGTGACAAACATTTTTAACTTTGGCAGTTTGCTTCATACTTTTGTACCATTAAAGGTTTTTCACTGGACTGGAACTAATTGGGACTGTACTTTGGCTCAGTTTTTAAGAGCGCTTCCATACCCAGAGCTCTTACTGCACAGAGCCAGCCGGACTTGTTAAACTCTTAGCTTTTAACACATTGCATTGAATTGCACGGTCAGTCCTCGGAATATGAGCTAAGAGTTCATGCTAATCCCTTGACATACAGACTAATAAACTTACGTACTTACGTCTGGAGAATATCATTAGTAGGCCGGGCATCTCCGTATAGCACCACAACGCTATATCTATAAATGGGAAGTTGTGACACGTTTCACCTTTTATCAAAAAAATCTGCAACTCCTGCAATTTGATATTGCACTTTCCTATATTGCAATTTCGCTAATATTTCAATTAATTAGTCAGCCCTCCTCTACAGCATTTTAAATATATTTCTTGTATTGTGCACTTCTTTTCTTTGAGTGAATACATTCAATATTTGTTGGTGTAATACTATTAATTACACCTGTGACTTTCCTGCATATAGTTTTGAATTTCTACAATTTTGCCTTTAATTAAAACAGAGAAACACAATCACCTGATTTTTAATTTGGGCTGCAGTTTGTAATTTGCCATTAATATTACACATATTAAATCAGTGAGCCTCCATGAATGCTGGGACAGATATTTACAGTTTTGATGACAGATTAAACTAACAGTGAAAGAGCCACAAAAACCCTGGACAGTCCCAACAAGCCACCCATAGTCATTTCATAATGCATCGTTTCAGTCCAGTCCAAGGATGCCAAGGCACAAGGATCCAGGAGGTTTACAGTCCTCAGTGCTTCCCAGGTTTGCCTCTCCTCTTCCCTCCTCCAGCTTTTCCTCCTCCTCCAGCCTTTCCTCCTTTTCCTCCCTTACCTTTCCCACCTTTTCCTTTGCCTTTTCCTGACATGTTGCCTTTGCGTCCTTTCTTCCCTGCGCCCTTCTTGTATTTAGCCGCGGCCTCCTCTCGGTCCTCCTCTCTCATCTGTTTATTCACAGCCTTGGTGATGTCCAGCTTGGGCTTCTTGCTGTCCATCATTTTCAGGAGCTCCAGCTGCTTCTGCTTCTCGTTGGAAAAGTCACCGATGAGGGGATCAAACTTCCTCCTCTTGCCTGTGTTCTTTGGCGGCTTCTCTTTGGGCAGGCGGTCCTGGAACCTCCCCGCGGACGCGGTGGAGGTTTTGGCCACGCTCGCGGCTCTGGTCAACTCGTCTTTGGACTGCTGGGCAGTGGGGGTGAGTCCCACCCCTGGCACTTTGATCTTCTGCGCCCTGGCAATGTTCTTCAGCCGGTTGAACTCATTTTTGGCCACTCTCTCCTTCTTGGCTTTGGCGCGTTTGGCGAACTGGTCCTCATTCGGGTCTGCGGTCTCCGGGACCTCAATCAGCCACTCCTTGGTGTCGTCTTTGGCCCTCTTGTAGCCCCAGCGCCTCTTCCACTCCTTCGCAGTTTCATCCCAAACCAAGTTGGTCTTCTTCTTCTTCTGTATGCCCTTTAGCTTGGCAAACTCTTCCCATTTTGTAGGAGGTTTCGGCCTCGGAGGTGGTTTCTCTCTGGGCAGCGGGGTCGCCGGGTCGCCTAATTTGACCACTATCGCCTCCTCGACCCTCTCCGTGGGCTGTTTCCAGATCTCGTTGATGAGCAGCTGCGTGTTGTCACGAGCTAACGACCGCAGGAAGTCCTCTTTCTTCTGCTTCTTGAACTCCCGGGACTCGATGCGGTTTTTGTCACACGCCAGCAGGTTGCCGATGTCAAACTCCAGGTCCAGCTCTTTCTGGACAGAGATACTTTTCAGTTTCTCTGCCTCTTCTTGCGCTGCGTTAGCCAACAGCTCTTCCACACTGCACGCCGCCATGTTGGTCAGTGCTGTTAAATGCTCCACACGTGTGGAGGAGAAAAACACATTTTATAACTTCCGGGTCACATTTAGCGTGGGGGAAGTTCCGCCTGTGGCCACTAGAGGGCGACATTGTTCCACTTCATTTTATTCTGTTCCCGTCTTTCTGAATTTATTTTTTAATTCATCATTTTAACAGTAACACACTGACATGTAACTATTATGCAGGAGATAATCAATGAAGCAGTGAGCTATAAAATGAATACAATAATAAATAAAGATACATACAAAAAGGAAACAATAAAATAAATTCATAAATTACAAAGACAAATATAAAAAGGTAAAGACAAGGGCCATCTGTTTAAATAATCTTAAAGCTCTATTCTAGACTTGTTTCAAGACATCTACTTTGATCTAAATCTACTCCTTCCCCCCTAAGTGATTAATTCAGAATATGCAAATATTTCTTATGTCAAATTTTACCGTTTTCTGGTCTTTGGTTCATTTTGTCAGATAAGAATTCTCAAAACTCCTTGTCCAGAATCCACATCATCTTGTCAGTTGTGCACACCATAAAAGCAATATCTCATTCTTTTGAAGAAATTGCAAAATGCTTTGACACATTTATGCAAATGTACCGCTGTTTCCTACATTATTAATCGCTTATGTCATGTGGATCACAGTGTATTATGCTGGTTCTATGTTGAATAGTCTTACCCCCCAAAACATCAAGGCACAAGTTTATTGCATAAGTCACTACATACAAAATGGTTGAACATGTTGTCATAATCTCTCAAGCATGTTTTCTAGTCTATTAGATTTTTTATTTTTATTTTATTTTATGTGTCCTGAATTGATGAAGCCATTCGTTATGAGGTGGGTGAGAATCTGTTGCCCGACAAACAGGAAGATCAGCCATAATTTGCATCAGAAAATACATACAGTATAGGCTACACTGTTATACTGACAACATGGCATTTTTTTACTATCTTGTTTGACACATACTTATCATTCTGATGGCATCGACATGTTCATTGACCTAAATATTTACTTTTGAGAGATGGACTAAGGAGCAAGTTACTGGCTTTTGCAGGTGATCAACTGTGTAGTGTAGTGCTGTTTATATGATCTGTTTTAAGAAACGCACTTACTGTTTTGCAAATGTTAAGGATGAATCGAGAAATGTACGATGAATGAAGAAGTTAATATTTTGGAAGGATTTTTAAAAATGCATTTATGTATATAGAATTTACCTAATATCACAATGTTGTGATGTTATAGCCTATTCCAGTTCATTGTTGTGCATTAGAAATAAATTTAATGTTAACTTACTGGCTGTTCTGCAGCTTTTGATTGTATCACATGATCTTCATCAGCAGAGGGAGTTTGCTAAGTTGTCATTGAGTTGCAGAGGTTTAAATTTCAGAACGTTTGAAGCACTTTAAGGACTTCTCATCCATGCTGGCTTAAAAGTTGAGTGGGAAAGTTCATTTTTGGCCTTGGAAACAGCATTTGACAAATCATGCCAATGACAGAGAGACAGTTGAAAGCTCCAGGATAGCTAATGGGTGTCATCAGATTGATTTGTGAACTGCTGTTTCCATGGTCAAGAACCACCTTTCAATCTTAAATTTGGTATCTATATATGGAGTTGCATTACTTTTTAATTTCTACACACAAAAAAAGTTAAATTCTCATATGTTCAGACATATGTAAACTAATTAGTGCTCAGTAGTTGTATAATGAGGTATAGCTAAAATGTCAGTGCATTTTACTACTTTAATGGGCATTCTGACTGAATTGGATGCACAATTTACAACTGAAACAGTTCAAAATACCAAAATACAAAAGTTACATCAGTGACAAAAACCTACAGTGCAGGGACACTGCGAAAACCTAAATCACAATGACAAGCTAAAATAGATATTAATTACTGAATAAAAAATAAAATAACTTTTGAATTTGCATTTCAAACAGAAGAGCAAAATAAAAATATATCAGTCCATATGTTCTTTTTTCCAAAATCAGGGAAGCTTTTTTACCTAAATATACGTTCTTTAAAGCACTGAGAAATTTATTAAGGTCTTCAATGATGTTTTCTTCTCTTTGAGTGTTTGCGCTGTCACATCATTTTAAAGTTATACAGTTGTGATAAACTTCATAATAGGATTACTATAAGTGTTTTCATGAGAGATTAAATTCACTGAAGTATTAATATCCTTCCTTCTCCATAATGTATTCTGTATGTGTTTCTCCCATAGATCCAGGACTCTAATAACTCTATTTTTGTCCCTGTCTCCCCTGATTTGGAAGAGATGAAGGAGGAGGGGTCGGGGGTCCTATCACAATTGACTGTCTGCTGGTTGCTCAATGACGATGGTGTTATTCTTTTGGGCTCCAGTAATTACATTCATAGCCACACTTGCCATGTGAATGCTTTGACAGGCACAGAGATAAGGTCACAAGTGATGCTGTGTTTGGAGATGTGAGGAGGAAATGCGTAATTAGTGGCCCAAAGTCTCTCTCCTGATTTTGAGAAGGCTATAAGGTCTTCTGTGACATGAATGTACATTGTCTAAAGTCACCCAATTTAAACATGGTCCACTAGTTAGCCACTAGTATTGCTGCCTATGTCATCCACTGTCTCCACAAGTGTTTTTTGTTTTTTTTGGCTGACTTTGATCCAGGGTGAATTCAGCCAAACAGGATTACTTTTCCATGGTGTTTCATTTAAGGAAAAATACACATCCCAGGCCGGATAAAGTTCCCTATGAGCTGTGACCATGGAGCAAAGTCATTCGCGCTCTCAGTGTCTGCGTCTCCACAGCTCTTAAATGTGCTTAAAGGATAAGATTTAGAAATAGTTCTCTCCATACCATATTGCTGCTTTATGTGAAAACCCTCCTTGCAGATTTAGTTTTTTTTATTTGTTAGTTTCAGCCAAAGGAGCTCAATCCTCTTTAGCAAGTTGATTCTTTGATTCTTTTATTTCCAAGTTCTTGAAAAATTGACATTTTGGATTTGCAGGTGGGTTTTAATCTGATACTGTGGAACTGACTGAGACCCACCTGAGTTCACAGTGAGTGTAACATACAGTGGTGGAACAAGTACTCAGACCTTTGACTACACCACAGGGTAAAATATATAAAAATGACAAAAATGCAAAAGTATTAGCATCAAAATATATTTAAAGTTCTAAAAGTTTACTTTACAGTTACTCACTATGCATAATGGCCCATTTCAGAATAAGATTCTATTAATGATTACTGATGCAAATAATGTGTGAGCCTGATTTTTATGTTGCAGCTGTCAAAGGTGGAGGTCATTTTATATACTGCTGGCCTTAATCTTAATCTATGAAAATACATCATCATTTATCCAAGGTAGGTTCAAATCAAGGGCAACTGGACTTGGTTGAAGATACTCGAAGATGTTTTGCCTTTCATGCAAGAGGCTTCTTCAGTTCTGACTGACTGGCAGGGAATCCCAGCTATTTAAGCTCTTTGGGGCCGTTATCATGTTGATGGAGACCGCATGGTTTGTTAGTTCTGTAAAGACAGTCGTTATGGTCGTTAGAGCCAAGTCTGAACGACCGTCGTTGACATTGTCACATGAAGCCAAATGTGAGTGTTTGTTCAAACTCCTGGGAAGAGATGAAAGGGCAGCATTGCAAGTGGGGGAGAAGTGGGGGAGAAGTGGTGTCTCAGTCCGTCTCACCTGTGAAGAGATGGTTTTTCTACTCTGGTGTAAATGGCTTCTTTGACTCCTCTTTCAAACCATCTGTCCTCCCTGTCCAAAGTATGTACATTGTTGTCATTAAAAGAGGGTCCCCTGTCCTTGAAATGTCTGTAAACTGCTCAGTCTTGTTTAGTTTGCCCAACAAACAGGTCTGTGAATTCCTTACTGTACTGGACAGCATACACCAGATTGATTTTCTTGTGTTTGGGTGCGCGGTCTTTCGGGTGGACCAGTGTCTGTCTTAGCATGTTCTTGGTTTTAAAAAAAACACAAGGATGTGGTGTTTGTTGGAAATCCTCCTGTGTTTCTCTGATACTCCAAACACATTTGGATTCACAATGTTGTTGCGTTCACCCATAGGTCCAGTTTGGATATCCACAAGCTTTAAGTGCATCCTTCAGGTGTTTGTGCTCCTTTTCTCGGGCGTGGGCACGTGTTGGTATGTTATCAGCTCTGTGATCCAGGGTTCTGATAACCTAATGCTCCAGAGGATGATGGGAGTCAAAGAGTATTGGTCTGTGTGAGTTTCCTGTATACTTCAATGTGGAGGCTCCTGTCCTCTTTAAAGTATACAGCACAGTCCAAGAAGGCCAAACCTTTGTTGCTGACATCCTCTCATGTGACCTTGATGTTACTGTCCATGGAGTTGATTAGTTCTGTGAAGGCTTGCACTTCCTTGGTTTTAATTTTAACCCATGTGTCGTCCACATATCATTACAAATGGCTGACTTCTGTTCCGTTGAAGGAGTTCAGGGCTCTGCTTTCTGCTTTGTCAATGTAGATGTTGGCCATAGGAGATACCGGTGAGCCCATAGCACAGCCATGCTTCTGTCTGTAGAATCCTCTGTTGTACTGGAAATAGGTGGTGTTTAGACAGAGGTCCTGTAGTTTACAGATACAGAAACTAGAAATATAAAATATCTCGATATTGCTCTTGAAAGAAACCAACCAACTTTTAAAAAAATATCTGTTTTAAGAAATGCTTTCTAGCAAGACTGTTCGTCAAACAGTGTATCAAATGTATTACATCACTCTCTACTCTGCATTTCTTCATAGAGAAAGATGTTAGTCCTGTGAAGAACTCTGTGCTTCATTTTTTGTCATCTTCATCTTTAAATACCCGCTCGCTGACTGGTGGCCACCATTATCCGTGCATCACAGGGGGAGAAAAAAAAGGACACTCATTCATGCAAAAACAAGCCAGAGGCTTAAAACTTCCTTCTCCTTCCAAAAGTCAATCACTTAGCATTAAAGACGAGGTGAGAGCGCTGTAGGGCCACATACAGAAGGAGGGCAAAATAATCTCA